TGTGTTTTTGGTGTTGTGTTAAGTTCTTTATAAATTTAGGATATTAACCCCTTATAAGATATATCATTAGCAAATATGTTCTCCCATTCAGTGGGTTGTCTTTTCATTTTGTTGATGGTTTCCTTTGCTGTGCAAAATCTTTTTAGTTTGTGGTCCCATTTGTTTATTTTCTCTTTTGTGTCCCCTGCCCAAGGAGATACAGCAGAAAAAATATTGCTATGAGAAATGCCTGAGATTTTATTGCTTATGTTTTCCTCTAGAATTTTTATGGTTTCAAGTCTGATATTTAAGTATTCAAGTCATTTTGAGTTCATTCTTGTGTATGGTGTAAGAAAGTGGTCCAGTTTCATTTCTTTGCACTTATCTGTCCAATTTTCCCAACGCCGTTTATTGAAGAGACTGTCTTTTTACCCTATTATATGTTCTTGCCTCTTTTGTTGAATATTAATTGACCATAAAACCATGTTTATTTCTGGACTCTATTGTCAGGGAGCATGATTCCTCTTTGTTTTTCTCCCCCAAGACTGCAGTGGCTATTTAAGATCTTTCATGGTTCCATATAAATTTTTGAGATCTTTTTTCTAGTTTTGTGAAATACCCCATTTGTATCTTGATAGGAATTGTGTTGAATGCATAGATTGCTTTGGGTAGTATAAACCTAGGAATAAATTTAACCAAAGTGTGAAAGACATGTACTCAGAAAATTATAAGAAACCAACAAAACTGAAATACAAATAAGTGGAAGTATACACTATGTTCATGGATAGGAAGAATTAATATTTGAATGTCTCAATGACTTTTGATGTTGCAAATGGTTATCTGTAGTTGTTCATGGCCAAATAAGTTTTAAATTGGCCATTTAAAGATTAGGAGAGTCCCAAAATAAATGATACATGGAGTGATAGTATAGGGGCGGGTAGGGGAGGGAAACAGAGGAGACTAAGTGTTAGCATATAAATGGCATTCTCGAATCACACACTTGCTAGGCCACTGGCCTATCTGCTCTAGCTTCTCAGGACTAGCAACTGTCACTCATCACATTGCTAAATTGGTGTACAAACTGCTCAGAAATTATGAATCCAAGTTAAATTGTGTGTAGAACCTCCTAGCCATACTGAATCCATACCATGAGGCCTGTTTGCTATTATACGTGGATTTGTTTTTGATGCACATGGAATTAGTTTTAGGACAAGAAGACTAAACTGGCCAAACTTGTAGCTAATTATGGCGAAAAAGAAATTTCTATTGTGTTTACTGTTCATTAGATTAAGCTGGTAGCTCAACCCATAGATTCAGAAAGCCAAAGTAAAAGTTCCCATTTATGGAAATGTAGCCATTAAACATCTAAGGAAAGCCTAAATTTCCTTAACGAGTTCCATGTTTTGGGAAACTAGAGAATTCCCAAACTTTAGTTTCTATGTGTGAGACAGAAACTCTGAGAAACAGTTCAGATAAGGGCTTTGAAGAATCTAATTAGCCAATATGGTCACTGTTTGGGATTTTGCCAAAGCAGATATACTGACAGATCCCATGCTTTACAAAATATATGAAAGGGAAGAAAAATGTCCATTTTGAATAATATATATGTCTGCAAATACAGCAATTATAGCTGCAATGATGGCTGCAAACAGTTCAAAATAGCTACAATGGTTTTATCTTGCTCCAAAGTAGCAATGGAAGGAAGATCAAGATTAGGGAAGCCGGGCAGCTGGGAGGTGACGCACAATTTAATAGAGTAGGGAAACCAGAACATTCTCTCACTATAATTTTGCCTCTGCCTGTGGCTCTAATTTGCCTCCCATGGTAACTGCCTGTGTCTTCTTTAAGTGAAGCATCTATGCAAGTCTTAACCAGATTTTTATGGGGTTGGTTGTGTTCTCATTAAAATTTTCTTTCTTATATATTCTTAAGTATGTCTTTTGTATAACTTATGCATTGCAACATTTTCTCCCAGTAAGCAGCTTGTATATGTTGTTCTGCAGATTTTCAACATTTTGCTGATCATTCTGCTTTCCAATTTACTCTTTATTGTTGGTATTCAGTAGTTTGACTATCTTCATAGGTAGTTTTGTTCAGATTTCTTTTAGGATATACAGAGCCTTCAACATTTCTTCATGAAATTTGTAAAATGCTTGGCCATTACTTCTTAAAATACACTCTTTCTGCTCTCTCATCACTCTTTTATTCTTCTGGATCTCCAATCACATGTGTGCTAGTCCAAGTAATATTTTTCCTTAAGACCCTGAGGCTCTATTCTTTCTTTAATCTCTCTTCAGATTAGATTTGAATTGATCCATTTTCAAGTTCACTACCACTTTCTTCTGCCATCTCTTATCTGCTGTTAAATCTATCCAAGGTTTTCATTTATGGTACTCTTCCATTGTAACAATTCCATTTGATTTTAAGATTATGTTTATTTTTAGAAAGAGAAGGAAGGGAGCAAGAGAGGAAGGAAAACGTTGATGTGTGAGAGAAACATCAGTTGGTTGCCTCTTGCACACCCCCAGCCAGGGACCTGGCACAAAACCCAGGCATCGACCTTTCAGTTGGCAGGATGACACCCAACCCACTGAGCCACGCCAGTCTGGGCATCCATTTAATTTCCTTTATACTTTCCTTTCCCTGCTGAGATTCCCTGGTCATTGAGATAACATTGCTTTTAAATTCTTGAAGGTGTACTTAATAGTCACTTAAAAGTTTTTTGCAATATACACAATTTGGGCCATGTCAGTTTTTCATGACATTTTTTTTTTTTACTATGGGACTTCTTTTGCTGTTTCTTTCCATATGAACTCACTTTTGACTCCATATCACACATTATAAAACACAGTTGTAGAGACTGTGTTGCACCTTCTTCTGAAGTGTTTTTATTCCAGTGGGTATTTTGATTCCTACTTTCAATTTAATTTGTGAGTGCTTTGTATAAATCTGTGGAAAGCCCAAGGTGTTTCTAAAGCCCTTTCATTTGGCAAACTGTCTCCCCTGCAGATCTTGTTGAGCAGTGATTTCAGTCTATTTCAGATATGTGGACATTTGTTTAGTCTGAGAGCTGGAACAAAAAGGCAATGTTCACACTGTTCGACCTTCGCAGAGAACATGCATGAGGGGCAACTCAAACTTCTTGCCACACTGTGCATGTCCTAGAATGTCTACAGAAGTACCTGCAGTGCTGATTTGGGGATTACAAATAAATTTTAGCAAGTAAGAAAACTTGTAAAGATGGACTCTCTGAATAATAAGGGTCAACTATGTATATATTTTTAGCATAATGAAACCAGGTAACATAATAAATATGTTACATAATTTAACTATTAGAGATTACATAATTAACTATTTTGATGGCTAGTTTCCCTAAACATGGTATTATCTCCTAAACAAAACAACAAATATAATTTTTCTTGCTGAATTAGGATCATCATTCAATAAAGTAAACAATGCTAAAATCCAATGAAGCCTTTAAGGTTTTAAAGGTTGTGCTCCTAGGTTAAAAAGTTCCATTTGGCAATAATTCTTGAGGTCTCTATGCTTTTTGCCTTTTTCAAATGAGCAGCTCAATGTACTTTAGCTATATAATATAGAAAAAGTAAACTTTACAGGTCTGTTTTCTCACCTATGAAATTAACAGAGCACATTCCTAAGGTGCCTGCAAGTCTAAAATTCTGTCATTTCTAGCTATCAGTTTTTTGACCTCTAGAGCTATCATCTTTTTTAACTTTCTACTTCTGATCTTCTATTTCCTGGAAAAATAAGAAAGCCAACTCTATTAGATTATAAAAGATAAGATACTCTAGTTAAAGACTCAAGATTGTTTTTCTAAATTATGCATATACATTAGCTCCCCTGGTCTGTAGGGAATCTGTTCTAAGACCCCAGTTGATGCTTGAAACCAGGGATAGCACCAAACCTAATATACACTGTGTTTTCCTTTATGTTCATACCTATGACAGAGTTTATATACTAATTTATAAATTAGGCACAATAAGAAAGTAAAAATTAAAAATAAACTAGAACAATTATAACAATGCACTGTAATAAAAGTTATGTGAATGTGGTCACCCATTTCAGGGGATCCCTTGCTGAAATCTTTATCGGCTTAGTGCTTCCTCGCTGTCAGTCGGAGCACATTTTCTGTTTCCTTCTATACACAAATGTAATGCCTTTTCCATCTTAACTATGCACTTCCCATATACCGTGGGCAAAATTTCCGCAGTCTGAGGTGTGTTGGCACCTGCCCCTTCTTTTTCCTCCTCCATAATTTCACTAAAAGATTCATTCTTACTGTAGATCTTAGCAACCTCAGCATACGATTTTCTTCTTCCTTTATTAAGTTTCAACTTTCACCTTTTCCTTAAAGAAAAGCACTTTATAGCTTCTCTTTGGCTTATCCAAACTGCCAGCATCATTACTCTTGCACTTTGGGACCATTATTAACTAAAAGGACTACTGAACATAAGCAGAGTGATACCACCAGGGTCAATCTGATAAACAAGACAGCTACCGAGGGACCAGTGGGAGGGGAAAGGACACACTGTGACGATGCTGGACAAAGGGATGAGTCACATCCAGGTGGGATGGGGTGGGGTGGAATGGGACAGTGTAGGATTTCATTTTAAAACTTAGGATTTATTGAATAACAATTTCTGAAACCTTCCATTTAATATTTTTGGTCTCCGGCTGACCCTGGTAACTAAAACCAAGGAGACCAAAACTGTGGATAAGGGAGGACTACTATACATATTTGGTCAATAGGAGGTCTATACACATTTATTCCCTGGATCTTAGCTGTAATTCAAACAGATATGCAAAATCAGTTGTACTTCCTAACAGATTAAAAACAATTCGTAAGACACTGTTGAATATAAGTAAATTGAATAAGCTATGGCATCTATGTCTAGAAAAACAAAACCATCTTTCCTAGGATGGTATCTTACTGGGATAATAAGAAATTACGTACAATTTAAAAAGAAGCTGTTACAAAAAACTCTTAGAAAAGCAGGCAATTTATTGTTGACTTATCTTCTTTATTGAATTAAAAGTACACTATGTATAAAATAGCATTGTATATACAAAGGGATGGCATACCATAATATATACAAGTATCTTTAAAATCGGGATGCAAGTTACAATGATTAGGAATATAAAATTTACATTAAAACACTCTCCAAAATGAATTATTTGGCCATTTTAGCTCGAAGTCGTCGTTTGAGAATTTGATGATCACTTTCCTTCACCTTATGGTCCATCAAAATCTGAAATCAACAATTACACAATTTTTTTTAATAAATAAAAATAAAAACATATTTATAATTAGTAAGATATGTTCATGTGCTTAGTAACTGAAATAGGTACATTATATTGTTTTGTCCTCTTGGGCTACAGGAATATTCTGCCAAAAAAAGCTTCCTAAAGTAATAGATTTTATAAAAGATTCTTTCAACACTACTTTATTATAGAATTAAAATAATCTACATTCTATATTAAATTCAGGCCATATGCAGCCTAAAATACTTACTAAAATGTTTGGAAACTTGTGACTTGTGACTAAATAATTTTTAAGAAATGGTCTTTTGCAGCAACTACATAACTTTCAAAGTTGAAAGAGCATTATATTGTAACTAAAAAAGAAATAATTTCAGCCAAGGGAGGAAATTATGTAATAATCAGACAGATGGCAAAAAGTGATGAAGAGAACAGTACTTCTAACAGCATGTCCTAATTGACCCCAATTCTTTGCCACTTGCTTTTAAGTGTCTATCTTATATCTGATAGCTACTGCTACAAAAAAAACCCTCTCTCCCCTGATTTTTCTTGGCCATTTGCTGCTGAAAGCTTTTCCTTTAATTACTTTTCTATTTTCACTTTCATCCACTAGGCAAATGTAAGCATGACAAAAAATCAGAACTTTCCCTATAACAGCACAGCCTGTTCTGAGTGAGGAGAATGAGTCATAGGGACAAACTACAGTCTCTTCTCAACAGAACCTGGAAGCCCTAGAGGAAAGAAAGGTGGGAGGAAATGACTGAACATCAAGTCTGTGTTTTTACCAGGCACACTTATGCCCAGATTTGTACAACTCTGTAGTAAAGATAACAAGAAAAACAGATGTTGGGAGCAAATAAATTACTAAACAGTGATCATTTTATTGATGGAATTAAAATTTTCCTGATTAGCTTATAAATTAAATGTATGGAATTTGTATGCATTAATGCCACATTTATATTTAATTAGTATGAATTTAACACATTTACTATCAGAAATATAACATTTAAAGCATGTTTTAAGAGATTTGATCTAAAGAGTAAAAATTTAAATTATACAAAATTATACAAAAATTCAAAATTAGCAATTTGAATTATGAAATTCAAATTGTTGTGAGTATCAAAACTAAAAATAACACGAACACTCTTATGTTTAAGAAAACTGAAAAAGCAGCTTACCACCTGGCCAGATATATCAATAGGAGATGAAATTTCATTTGTGTATAACTTCCGTTTGACCCGTTTCGGTTGAGATACATTTTCTTTACTTACTTCTACATTTGAGAGCTTTGAAGAGCTCACTGTTTCAATTATCTTCTTTGCTATAAAAAGTATATTTATTAGTTAAGTTCTGAAGTAAATAATTTTCTAACTGGAAAGGTTTAAAATTCTTAATAAAGCAAAAAACATACCAAATTAAAACCACTGTAATTTGTAAACAGTGAAAGGACATGAATAGACAATTCACAAACAAAAAATTAAATTCCTAATAAACATAAAGTAATGATTAAGAGCAAAAGCAAATAAGTAAAATATCATTTGATTGTAAATTATAGTACCACCAATAAAACTCATCCATCCTTAATGACATGAAAGAGGTTTTATGCTACATTAAATAAAGAAGCAGGATACATAAGAGTAGACCATGCAGCATCAAAAACAAGGCAGTAGATCTAGTTCAGTACTCACATGTAAAGATGCCCACATAATTATTAAGTAAAGGTAGTTTTTAATTGTGAGCCCTTTACTTGTAGTTAACACATACATATACACACACACAGTAAAAGACAGAAAGCAAATTGCTAACAGTTTATTACTTCTGGGAAATGGAATAGGAATTTTTATATTTCTTATTTTATACATTTGTTTTAGTTTTTTAATAGGCACATATTGGTTTTAATAAAGTATATTTCCATTTGGGAAAACTCCTGGATAAAAAAACCCATATACATATACCAAACTGTGTTTTTAAACAATAGAAAAAAAAAGTTGCCAGTTCCCGCCAAGATGGAAGTGTAGGCAGAAACCCTTTTCTTCCTCGCACAACCAAAAGGAGGATAACAACCAATCTAAAAACAATAAAGAACCAGACGTGCCAGAAAGTCAAACTGCATGGAACTCCAACAACCAAGGAAGTAAAGAAACAGTCAATCAGACCAACCAGACCGGTAGGAGCGAGTGGGGGCAGACAGGTGACAGAGAGAACCTGTGGCAAGGCGGTGGACAGAGTGGGCAGGGCTGGCTGAAGGGGAAACTGAGACTCAGAGCTGACTGTGGACTACGGCAGGGGTTGTCGCAGTGTGAGGAACTTCCAGTCTCACACAAGAATTCATTGGAAAGTGGGGCTAAAGCAGAGCAAGCCAGCAGCATTGTTCCCTCTCTGGCCCCTCCCCCACAGGCAGCACTGCAGCACTGCAGCACAGCAAGGAGGGTTGCCCTGCCCTGGTCAATACCTAAGGCACCTCCCCCTTACAACTTAACAGGTGCACCGAGACAAAGTAATAAGGCCCAAATGAAAGAACAGAGCAAAACTCCAGAAAGAGAGCTAAGCGATGAGGAGATAGCCAACCTATCTGATGGAGAGTTCAAAGCCCTAGTAATCAAAATGCTCACAGAACTGATTGAGCTTGGTCGAAAAACGAAGAACAAATGAAGGCTACCCAAAGTGAAATAAAGCAAAATATTCAGGGAACCAACAGTAACAGGAAAAAAACTGGGACTCAAATCAACAATTTGGAACAAAAGGAAGAAATAAATACACATCCAACTGGAACAGAATGAAGAAACAAGAATTCAAAAAAAAACAATGAAGAGAGGCTTAGGAACCTCTGGGACAACTTTAAACATTCCAATATCTAAATTATAGGGGTGTCAGAAGGAGAATAACAAGGGCAAGAAATGGAAAACTTATTTGAAAAAATAATGAAAATAATAATACTTCCCCAATCTGGCAAAGGAAATAGACTTCCAGGAAACCCAGAGAGTCCCAAAGAAGTTGGACCCAAAGAGGAGCACACCAAAGCACATCATCATTAAGTTACCCAAGATTAAAAATAAGGAGAGAATCTTAAAAGCAGCAAGAGAAAAGGAGACAGTTAGCTACAAAGGAGTTCCCATAAAACTATTAGCTGATTTCTCAAAAGAAACCTTACAGGCAAGAAGGGGCTGGAAAGAAGTATTTGAAATCATGAAAAGCAAGGACCTACATCCAAGATTACTCTATCCAGCAAAGCTTTCATTTAAAATGGATGGCCAGATAAAGTTAAAGGAGTTCATCATCACCAAGCCCTTATTATATGAAATGTTAAAGGGACTTACCTAAGAAATCAAAAGAAGAAAATCAAAAACCATGAACAGTAAAATGACAACAAACTCACAACTATCAACAACTGAACTTAAAAAAAAAAATGAAAACAAATACTAAGCAAACAACTATAACAGGAACAGAATCAGAGAAATGGACGTCACATGGAGGGTTTTCAGCGGGGAAGGGAAGGGGATGAATGGGGGGGTACAGGGAATAAGAAGCATAATTGGTAGGTATAAAATAGACAGGGAGAGGTTAAGAATGATATAGGAAGAAATCAAAGAACTTATATGTACAACCCATGAACATGAACTAAGGGGAGGGAATGCTGGAGGGTTGGGGGGTGCAGGGCAGACAATAAAGGGGGGAAACTATAATAGCATAATCAATAAAATATACTTAAAAATACAGAAAAAAACACTTAAGGAAATATGCTCAATTGAAGGTCTACTTGTCCAGGGATCAGCTGAGCTTGAGAGCTGAGTTGCCAGATGTGAGTAGCCAATTAAGACAAGCCAAAGTGAAAGTAACAGTAAAGGCCTTAAGCACTTACAGCAATAGAATAAACAGGAAGCTGCACCTGAGAAATCACCAGCTCCCACTCACCCCCTTTTCCCTATTTCCCATAGCACACTGTGTGGGCTAGGTCAGGAGGATTAGCACAGAAGTGAGGGCCATCTCACTGCCAGAAGAACAAAAGGCTTATACACTTGTTTCATGGGCATCGGGGCTGGAGGCCAGAGGGAAGGGCTGGGAGAGGGAAATTGGAGTTAGGGTGAAGAAAGGTGTCTTCAAGTTTGCCTCCCCTTACCTGCCATAAGGTCTTTGGCAGACACCTGAAGAAGTTCTCTGCTCAAGGCACCCAAATAAAAGGCTCCAAATGAAGGCACTTAGGCTGGGAATCCAGGTATGTGCCAGAGCCTGGCTGGACCCCGGCCTGAGCCCGTGACTATAACTCCCTTCAGAGACGGCAGCGCACTGGTGCAGGGAGTGCCGCTTTCCCCCAGGAGGCCTAACCAGTAAAACCTTTGCAGTTGCCACACAATGATCAGCCACTGCAATGGTCAGTCTTTAAAAACAAAAACAAAACCACAGACAGGATTTTGGCCTGGAGCCACTATACTAAGAACTGAGAATGTGAACTAGACAGACATTTTGCAATTGTGGCACTTTTATTCCAGTGAAAAAGAAAACAAGAAATGATAGCTCAAATAATTCAATTTGCACTTTGAAAAGATCAGTTTCCCATGTATTGAATGGGTAGGAGATAGACAAGAAAATTGGAAGACCAGTGATACCAAATAATGAATCTCAATTTTCTTTTTTCCTTATATTTTCAACTGATTAACAACAGCTATATATTGTAGTTACAATCCAAAATAGGGATGTCTTATATTCCTAGAAATAATTTTTTTTTAAAAATCCATGCCAGGTATATAGGTAGAGAAGCTGTTAAGGAACTGAGTCAAGCAGGTAAGGGAGCCAGTTACTGCTTGTGTACCTCCCTCTCCTTGTAAACATATTTCTTTTTAACATCAAAGTAATTATCAATATACTTTAAATAAAATATATGAAAATCTAAAAAATCTAAAACGACAAGTTCTGCCCCCCCAAATTTAGACATTTATCACTTTGCTATTTGTCCCTCCAGATATTATCTATGCTTATGCAAACTATGCTTTAAAATGATGTATATGTTTTTTGAAAAATATATACAAAAGGGCCTGGTAAGTCGGAACTTCCCGCTGTGCGCTGACACAGGCTGCCGCAAACTCAGAGGAGCACAGGTCCTCTCTCCGTCCCCGCAACTACGTGAAGCGGCCTGCTCTGGATACTAACAGACAGTAGCTCAGGGTAGGTCAGTTTCAAAGTATTACATCCCATTCCTTTTGATGATGACATATCTTTGCAACCTGGATTTTCAGAAGCTGAATTTTCAGTCGTTGTTTGGCATCAAGTACTATATGGATAAAACTAGTAGGTTTTTCTTTGGGTGCAGGAGCACAGTGAAAAAAAATTACTGCGTTATTAAGGAACCACACAAGTTTGGGAACCTCTATATAAATTTTTACAGAAAGTATTTTTACATAACCTATCTGAATCAATTCAACTGTCCCCTGCCTTTATATCCCTACTCCTCCTTATTCTCCTTACCTCTACTCTCCAATTTATCCTACTGCTAATCACTCAGGTAATCTCATGAAAACCGACTCCTCCACCTGCCTCCTCTCCCCAATAATCTCTCCACATTCTGACTGCCAGACACACACTGCTACCTGGAATAGCCTGCACATTCCCTATACTTCTCTAGTATTCTACTTGTGTCAAAACTGTTCCCTCTTGTAGATGTATGAGTATGTGTATGTGTATACACACACACACAGGAATGTTTCTGTTTATGTATACATGCAGATATGAAGTGTACATCTGAGCATATATTAATATAACAGGTATTAATGTAGCTAAGAAAAAAGCATTAAGTAAACTCAATAGGTTTTATAGATGTGTTTGATTTATATGAATAGGTAATGTTTATCTATACATAGAAAAAAAACACTAGAAGAATATTTACTATTATACGAACAACAATGATTATCTCTAGCAGGTGTAACCCTGCCAACATTTTAATTACTAGGTTAAATCCCATCTCTTCTATAAAACCTTCCCATAGCCCCTAATTAGAATACCGAATTTTTCCAACTGTAAGACACATCTAGATTTTAGAGAAGGAAATTAGGAAAAAAAATTTTGAAGCAAAAATGTGAAATATTTAATAACATAAGTAACACAGAACACACCCTCACCAGGCAAGCTACATTTGGACTATAAGATGCACCTCCCCTTTCCCCCCCAAATTGGGGGGAGTGCATCTTATAGTCCAAAAAATGTGGTAGCTCATTTCCCTCCAGTACTACCACAGCACTTTATTTTTCTCCCAGTAACTACACTAAGCAGCATGCTCTGGATCAATTACTTAAATACAGGACTTTCTTTATTACACAGTGAACACCTAGGCATATCATCCTTTCATGTTTCTTCCCATAGTACCTAACACAGAATAATATAATGTATACTTGAAATATAATAACCCTTGTTGAGTTTATACCAATCAGATACTAGGAAATATTCTATACTGAACACTAAAGGACATTTAATTAATTTTCTACACACCTTTTGATTGAAGAATTGTAGGAGAACGTTGTAAGAAGTCTCCAAATTTCTGCAGTGTTCCTTCTTTTTTCTTAGTGGTCAAGTTTACATTGATTGCAGATGCCTGACTCCGTAAAGAATATGTTTTCTGAGATGATGATCGTGTAGAAGCCTAATAAATAAACATTTTTGGTTATTGTTGATGAGGAATTTTAGAAAGAAATAGTTACAGCCACAGTTGAATTAAAGAGGCCAGGCACAGGTTATGAATTCTCAGGCGGGGAATTCGTGATTAAGAACATGAGGAGGCCCTGGCCGGTGTACTTCAGCTGGTTGGAGTGTCCTCCTGTGAACTAAAAGGCCGTGGGTTCGGCTCCCAGTCAGGGTTCATAACTAGGTTGCAGGATGGGGAAGGGGGGCCGGCAGCTGGTATTCCCTTTCTCTCTGCCCACCCCCCTCCCCCTCTCTCTATGATCCTCAGGTGAAGATTAAAAGAAAAAAAAGAAAAGAATATGAGGAGAAGGATAAAAGAGCCAGAGAATGGCAAAGTGAGTGTGACAGACGAACTGCTAAGTGAGAAGTGAACACTTCAGGAAGTACCTGCTACCGACCAAATGCTGAAGCTTACCTTCTCATCTGAATTAGATGAACAGAAATAGGAGATAAATAAGTTATAATTGGACATAATTGGATAATTACTAACCAAATTTGACATCTTTATTTTCATCTTCTACTTTATAAATGTAAGTTATTAAAATGGTCAATTTTGAACAAATTAAAAGACAAACCTTTTGTTCTTTTTTGGGAGAATTCATATGCTCCAAAACAGGGGACTTCAAATTTGTTCTGCTTGCAATATTCTTCTTATTTTCACATTTCACCAAGTCCTAAAGATAATATATTTCAGCACTGGTTAATTTCTTGACAATTTTTTTCTTTCTGTAGACTAAGGAAAGAAGAAAAGGAGGGAGGGGAAATGAGGGACAAAGGGAGGAAGGGAAGAAAAGAGGAAGGAAGGGAGATAGTGGTTCTCAACCAGGGGTGGTTGTTGACTCCAGGGGACACTGGCATGTCTGGAGACATTTCTGGTTGCCATTGCTGGGGGGAGTGGAGTTTTATTGGCAACTAGTGAGTAGAGGCCAGAATGCTGCTAAGCACCTCTATGATGCACAAGACGGCCTTCTTAAAATAAGAGATATCTAGTACCAAATGTCAATAGTGTTGAAGTTGAGAAACCCTGACTAAAAGTATGAATTTTCCCCCCACATTATAAAGACATTATTGACATATAACATATGTAAGGGTAAGATATATGATGTGAAAATTTAATAGATGTATATATTGCAAAATGATTGAAGGTATGGATTTTTCACACACCATATAAAATGAAATTATGAGCTAACTGAAGCAGATTAGAAGGGATAACACCTTTTATTTGAACCCCATCTATAAAATATAGCACAGCAATACACCTGCCCCTTCTCCAACTCCCAAATCCCACAAAGCATCTGTGTCTAAGATCTCTAACTGAAATTTGGCAGCACTGAAAACAAACAAAAATCTTCAGTATAAACATAGGTAAAATGTGAAAACTAAGAAACACACTGTCTTCCCTAATAAACAGGCATAGCATCTTAGGAAGAGCCTTTTGTGGTATTATTACCTGAACTGAACTGTACAAATCCTAGTTATACCAAAGATTATAAGCATAAAAGAAAAAAGGCAAGAAGAGAAGCAGAGAAAAGATCATGACTGAACCTCAGAATTCAAGTCATCAAGTAGAAGCCGTGAAGGGTCATAAGAAACAGACTTCCTTAAAGGGGAAGACAGATGGAACCGTGGGAAGCAGATAAAAAAGAAAAGCTGTAATTCCATCACACTTGTAAGTGATCGATAAAGAGCTCTTTGTTGTCTTCCCTGGAATGGAACACAGCACTGTGCAGATGACTTTCATGAGGACCTCAGTTTATTACAGCAGTGAAGAGCCAGCAAAATCAATGAAAACTTCCAAGTTTTACATGATTTGCCTACAACAACCTGTACATCTACTCTTAAATACACATGAAGAGTACAGGAGAGTACAAACCAACAGTAAAATGGATAACTGTATTTTAACACACTGTATATACAAATTTCCCTTTTCCCTAAAAAAAAGAACAAATCAAGGAAAAGTCAATATAGATGATAAAATTAAAGTATTTAGTGCTTTAATTGTATCTAAAATGTATTAAATATAAATTAAATATAGAATAAAAGTTAACTAAGGCTCTATAAAACAACCTCTAAAGGTGTTCTAGGTGTAGCAGGAAATGAATATTTATTTATGAATAATATCCATTTAGTAAATTTATTACCTGACAGAGAGCCTCAGGAGTATAGTTAATACTATTTCTCTTCCACAGACTTGAAAATATAGTACTCTTTAAAGAAGTGAAAAACAAATGTTGAAGATAAAGTTATTATGCTGGAGTTTATAATTAGTTTTAAACTTATATCAATTTGCTTTTAAAATAAACATTACCACTTATTACCTATCTACAACATGTAGAGGAAAAACTAAGCATTTTAAACATATCCACTCTTTTATTTCCAAAAGGAGGAAACTGAGGGCAGAAAGTTTATGCAACATGGTAGAGGGTTTGATAACCCTATAATTAAAAAGCTGCAATAAGAAGGGGCAAACAGTTTTTAGCCTTCCACTAAATAGAGGTCCAAATTTTCCAAATTTCAATACACTGGCTGTTAGAAAAAGAATTTCACTGCTAAGAGAACATACAGAGTTATGATAAGACCTAAAATTTTAGTTAAAGAACAAAGATTACATTGAAGCAAGATAGCCATTTCAGTTTCTCTCATTTTTTTAATCATACATTTTCTCTTCCCTTGGAGGGAAAGTGACTCAGTTTGAACAGGACTGATAAATTGCAACAGTTCTCCAATAGAACCCACCATCATTTGAACTACCACAACTGCACTCAAATAGGGGATAAGCTATGTATTTTACTATTCATAAGCCTTTTGTTTGAAGATTACTAAACTACAGTGATATTCTTAAAGAGGACAGAATATGCCATAAGTTATGATTTTGGTCTCTAACAGCAGTGCTTATGAATAGGACAGTGTAGAGAGTTTAACTATATAATTGAACTTAATAATAATGTCTGCTTGTTAAATTCACTCATCGGTTAAGTATTTACCTCCTCCATTTCATTACTCTTCCTCTTCCGAGACTTGGAAATCTTAACCATGACTGGTAAGGTACAACCAGGGTGTTTCACTGCCATTTTGTTTGGACATAAAGGTGTAAATTGAATCTCTAACTCTGGTTTTGGAAACCGAGTACTTTGATTATTTTCCGTTGACACTTCACAAGAGTCAAGGACTATACATTCATCCTACAACAGAATTAAAAAGACAAACCTTATTTGCAGAATATGAATATATAAATCACAAAAAATTAACTCCCAAATACCTATCAAAGATAATGAATTAGAAAAGATAAAAAAGCATGCTGAGGTCGAATTCCCCAGAGCAAGGACAGAGACTGCATTATCAGCTACCCTCTCCAAGCTTATACATGGTACATTAAAATTGAGGGAAACTTAGAGATAAGTATTTCTCAAACTTGCATGATCCTAAAAGTTATCTAGAGTGTTTGTTTAAAAGATTCTTGGATGCTACCACAAATCTACTAAATCAGAACTCTACAAGGAAAGTGTCTAGAATTTTTAATAAACACCTAGTTTATAGTAGATTAAAGTTTGCTGCTAATTCTTTGCTACTCTTTCCATTGAGAGATGGAGTCTCATTCTCCTTTCTTGAATCTGGGCTGGCCTTAATAACTTCCATAACCAATACGATGTGGTGGAAATAACATCCTGCTTCTTCTTGAGGGTCAATCCTAAGAAGCCTTGTAACTTCTACTCCGCACTCTTGGAACACTAACTTACAGAACATTCCCCTCCTCAAAACGCCCCTCCTCAAAACTCCCCGCCTCAGAATCTAGCCACTGTGCTGGGAGAAGCCTGAGCTACAGGGAGAGGCCACATACAGATCCAGCTGACCTCCCCAAATCAGCTAGGTTAATGAATCATTTTGGAATCTCAGCCCAGTTGAGCATACTGATTTCATGAAGGCAAGAAAAATATGCAAAACAGCCTAACAATACCATCCTCCAAAACCATCAAGTATATAACTGCTGGAGTTTTTTTTAACAGGAAATTGGAATCAGGATGTTTTAGGACAGAATATATAAATTTATAGAGAAAGAAATGTCCACACAATTGCCTGCGCAATCGAAAATTAATCTTGTTTATGGATCAACTTCAATCTTTTCTACAAACAATATAATTTGCATTAGTCTCTAAGGTCAATGCTAATTATCTGAAACTCTACCAAAAGCTATCAGGGAAAGGCCAAGAGAAAAAGAATGGCTCATGTTATTTCCCTAGATTAAAATGCCCTTCTCTTCCTATTCTCTGCTTGGTAAAATGCCATTCACCCTCAGGACCCTGGATAATGTTACTTTTGCTACCGCCTTCACAATCACTCAGACAAAATTCATCGTATCCTCCTTAGTCGGTGTTTCTTCTCAGCATTCTGTTCACAACACTTAGCCCAAATGGTTAAGTACAACAAGGCAGTCATTTATATATCTGTCTTACTAGATTCTTTCATCCTGAGGATCACAATCATATCTTATTTATGTTTTATTCTCAGTATCTAGCAAGGTTCCCAACACTAAATGCTTCCAATAAATGTGTTAAAAAATATTTAATTTTATTTTCAAAACCTTAAATGACATAGAATTTTTATCTATTTCATATGTAATCTGAGAAGCTATTATCCAAAGTGATTCACAGAAGCCTAAACTCACTACAAATTATGGAAATTCATTGTAAGTTATTAAGATTTGGTGACACGACCTGGCTGGTGTAGCTCAGTGGATTGAGTGCGGGCTGGGAACCAAAGTGTCCCAGGTTCGATTCCCAGCCAGGGTACATTCCTGGGTTGCAGGCCAGAACCCCCAGCAACCGCACATTGATGTCTCTCTCTCTCTCTCTCTCTCTCTCTCTCTCTCTTTCTCTCTCTCTCTCTATCTATCTCTCTCTATCTCCCTCCCTTCCCTCTCTAAAAATAAATAAATAAATCTTAAAAAAAAAAAAAGATTTGGTGACAAAGTTATTAAATGGGAATGATTAAAAAAACACCCTATTTAATAGAATGCTAATTAAAGGGATCTCTTATGAGGCCAAATAATCATGCATCCATTTTTTCCTATTTCTGACTGAGAAGTTTGTTTATATTAACAGATCTGTTGTTTGAGATCAGAATCATTTTGAGCTCTGGCTCAGTGGATTGAGTGCCAGCCTGTGAACCAAATGGTCGCCAGTTCGATTCCCAGTCAGGGCACATGCCTGGGTTGTGGGCCAGGTCTCCAGGTGAGGGTGTGAGAAAACCAACCAATGGATGTTTCTTTCACACATTAGCTTTTCCCTCCCTTCACCTCTCTCTAAAAATAAAATAAATAAAATCTAAAAAAAAGTTATTAAAAAAAAAAGATCAGTATCATTTTGAGAGGAAATTAGTATTTAAAGACCTAATCTCCCAGAAGAACTTCACCTCTCCTCAAAGCCTTTAGCTTTCTTTCCCACAGCTAAGAGCATATATAACTAATTGTACAGCAAAGTACCTCCAACAATTGATTACATTATATTTGTATGTGTTGTTTGGTCACTGGTAAAGGGGGTAAAAAGGTAGACTGTGTTCCCAAATACCCACCTCTACCTCACTGCTGGAAATTTCAACACTTGTTGATTGAGGTTCAGTTTTAACTCCATCAAAATCTATTGAACTCATAGGTCTGGGCTTGATATCCACAGTTTCTTTTTCCTAAAGTAAATATTAGAGCAACAAGCCATTGTAACCAAAAATAAATTAAAGCACTTCACCTAAAGAATATAAAGTGAAGATATAGGTGAATTAAATAGGGGAAGTAATCAAAGACCAATGCCCATGTAATTCTGCTTCCCCTCCTCTCTCTCATTCTCAGAGACTCAGGACAGGCTGGGCAATTTTCCAGCCTCTTTTGTGTCTGATATAGATAACTGGGAAAATTACTTTCAACTTCCAAGGTGTTTTACATATATACCCTCATTTTACTTTCATTGTAACTGAGTTAAATTTAAATTTGTCAAGAATCCTTATTCCAGATGAGGAAATAAAAAATTACATGGTCAAGGTCTGTACTGAGTTGGGATGTGAACTTTGATAACACAATTTTGAAAATCTAGAGTCTTGGAAATGCAGCTGTAGCCCCACAGTAGAAAAGGCTATGCTGATGATGAAACCTCTTCTGCTGCACACTGTTCATACCACCTTCTGTCATAGGTTATATTCTATTCCCAAACCCTACTTAAGAATCTCTAAAGAAGTATTAGATTACATTTTTAAACTTGATAAATTCCAATGTGGACCTTCTCATCACTGCCATCAAAATCAAAAGCCAAATACATCTCTGTGTCACCTACCCATAGCTACCAAATAAAAAAGATTCTATTGAATTATAATGGGGAGATTATAGCATGTACTGACTTGCACTGAGGTAAAAATTGTGCTAATTGATTTCACAAATGCTCTCAATTAATTTCCACAACTCTACTAGGAAGACAACATATCTCTGAATCAATCATAAAGTCTAAAAGCTCAAAATTCACAAAAAATACCCAAATAATTTTTCAAACTGATTCCCCTTTGATCTACTGAAATTACTTCTTTAACCTTTAAGGAGTTAATCAAACAATTTTGAAAAATTTGTTTAAAAAAAAAGGCATAGAGAGAACAAGATTCTACTGACTGTTTTAGAAGCCTCTGATGTAACCCTTGTTTTCAATTGTTCAATTTCATTATCTTTCTGTAAGTTACTGGACATCAGTGCTTTCAGCTGTATTTCTAAAGCTGCAACCAGACGATCCCGTTCTTCTCGCCATTTTTGAAGGTTACTGTCTTTCTCTGCCAGCTGTGCTGTAAGTATTTCCTAACCAGGAAAGACAGAAAATGGTTAGAGCATATCTTGAAACATTATGCATCTAAAATTGTTTTGAAATTTTATTATAAGTAACACAATAAATATAACTGTGAACAAGATGCATAACAAATAGCCTAAATAAAACATTTATTGTATAAAAAAATAAAAAAATATTTATTGTACCCTTAAAACAAAATGCATAATGTCCTTATATATATTCAATGTCCACACGCTGTCATTTATGCCTACTGGGGGTGTCCAACCTGAGGCCCACAGGCCACGGGCAGCCCAGGATGGCTCTGAATGCAGCCCAACGCAGAATTGTAAACTAACTTAAAATATTGAGATTTTTTTGTGATTTCATGTCTCATTGTATTTAATATGTGGCCTAAGACAACTCTTCTTCTTCCAGTGTGGTGCAGCGAAACCAAAATGTTGGATACCCCTGGCACCCTAGCCCAAATCATTTCAAAAAACATGCTGGTCACCTCTTTCAATAAACAATTATAGCTCTTAAAATAATATCAGTATTGAGAAATAAGAGGGTAAAATTACAGTAAAACAAATAAACTAATAGCAACAAACAATAATGAAAGTAAAACAAACATGTGCAGACCTAAAATGAACTGTAAAACACTGCTGAAAGAAATTACAGAACACTTCAATAATGGAGAGATAATTTGTTAAAAGATCAAAAGGCTCAATGTTGTTAAGATTTAAATTCTCTCCAAATAGATCTGTAAGAGTTGTTAAACAAAAACGTTTCATTTCCGCAGCTTTAAGTCTAATTTAAAGAGGGTTTATTAGGCATTGACAGTGTAACGGTATAAAAACTTCATTTCTTTAACATGACATTTTCTCCTTCCTTCCCTTTTCATTCAAACTGGCCTCATACAGCAGCCTGACTCACCTGTCTCCTCCTTTGCATGTCTACCCCCTGAATCATTAAGTGCTCAGGACAATGACTTCTAATTAGCACCAAATAATCTTAGGAACAAAGTCTAATGACCACAAAGACACAGTTTTAATCAAACTAAAGATAACATCTAGGCCTCAGTTGTGTGTTTCAGTTCCAGGACCAGAAAAGCACGGAAACCGGACTAAGCACGGCCATGCTGACTTCAGATTCGGATGCATGATCAATTTCCCCCACCCTACCTAGCACCAACCAATCAGTAGAGACCCACTACTCTCACTCCCATAGTCACCACGATTAATGATTTCCCCTCTATAAAACCCATACTCTAGCAGCCATTGGGGAGCCAGGTCTTTGAGCATTAACTCACCTGTAACTCCACAGGTGAGCCACTTCCTAAAAATTAATACTTTCTTTGTTACAAGCTCCCATCTTATGTTTGGCTTTGATGCATGCAGGCAAATGTGAACCTGGTCGTGGGGCATGAAGTCTGAACAACCAACAGCAAGGCCAGGTGAGAAGACAACATGTCCACAGTCCTGGAGCTGTTGAGCTCTTTATATGTCGTATGTGTGTGTGTGTGTGCATGTGTGTGTGTACATGCAAGGCGGGAGTACCTTCTGAAAGGATTACATTAGTGATAGACAAACAGGGGGTGGTGGGAGAAGCTAAACCAGGGCCAGCTCTGGGATAAGCACAGAATCAAGCAAGGAAGAAATGCATCTGTTCCTACGGATTGGCTGTAGGCATTAGATTGAAAAGTTCATATATAAACAAGAAGCAGAGGCCCCTGGGGTTCAATGGTGCCTGGCTATGATCTCTTGGATAATCTTGTAAATAGCCACCTGAACATGAATCCTAAATTCCTACAGATATACAGGAATGTGAGCAGTCCTTTGTCAGAGCTGGCCCACAGTTATTAACACGCTAATTTCTTTTTCTCTCACTCTCTGGAATCCGTAATTATAGTTTAGAATACGTCAGAAATTTTTTTTGTCAGAGTCAACGAAATTTCAATAAAAATCAGGGCAGGTGTGTGTGTATATCTGTATGTATGTGAAGACATGAAAAAGCTGACTCTAAAAGTTACATGGAAATGCAAAAGATCTAGAATAGTCCAAACTATTTTGAAAATTAACAAACTGGAGCAGTCACACGGTATCATTTAAAGCTTATTATAATAATCAAAACCGTGTAATATTGGCGTAAGGATGGAGATCAATGGAACAGAGGAGAGGGTCCACAAATTATAGTCAGCTGGAATTCTCAATAACACCAAATAAATTCAATGGAGGAAAGTGAAAGGACAAAGCCAGCACCACTTGCCATTGTGGCACCATTTGCCTAGCAGGCCTATGACCTTGTTAACCATCACCGCCAGTTTACCCTTCTGAGCCTGTGTCCCCAGGACTGGAAATTACTGGAAAGCAAGAACAGGACTAACAGCTCCCAGCAGACACAGGCAGAAGATAACACTGGAACAAACTGCAGGCTCCAGTCACGAGGCTAACAGCCCGCGGGCCACGCAACAGCACCCACTCCACCCTTTTTAATCCAATTGTAACTCAATAAAAGCTCAAGCCCCCGCCCCTCAGTGTAATTCTCCACACCACACCCCTCTCCTTCCTTTGAAAATGAATAGAATCTTTCCTCTCAATACTTTCTTCTCTTTGTGAATTCTTTTCACAGACTGAGTCACTGACCACCCTAACAGAAAGGGCAGTCTTTTCAACAAAGGGTGCTAGAACAACTAAATAGCCAAATAAAAAAGAAAAACATAAAACCCAACCCTCCAAGTTAACTCTTGGACAACTGATTTATTAACAAGAGTTGCAGAATAGTGGAAAAGCAATTTTTTTTCTGTAAATACTACCAGGATAATTTGTTAACCCAAAGTTTAAAAAAAAAAAAAAAAAAAGCCTTGACCCCATTCAGGGAGGAAAAATTATCCTCTACCATTTAAGTTCTTCCAGTTCAACTAATAATCAAAGACAGGAAACTAATTAACCCAAGACAGGAAAGCAGGAGAAAAGCAAATTGAAATTTAATAACCTGAATGCCTCCTGCACACATGGGTAAGACCCACGAATAGCAACCTGCTAAAATGGTGGAGTGGTGGACACCATCACCTTCAACACCTCCTTCCGCTGAAGATGTAGAGAATCAGTCAAGGGGGTTACCAGAAAAGCACAGGGAACAAGGGTAAGACTGTTACATGGACTTAAGTCCTACCTTTTCTACTCAGAGAGACAGCAGTCCAAGTACAATGAAGGAAACTCACTTACAAACGGAAATTTCCCTTATAAATATGTGTCCTTTTATAAAGGGTAACTTCTACTTGGTTTTCAGAGCCGATGTTTTTAAAATTAACCAGCAGCCTAAAATAACCAATAGCCCAAAGAGGTATACTCTGCTCCCTTTCGCTCCTATTTCACTCCCACACCAGAACCAATTCTAGGATGTAAATATGAAAAGTAAAACCCTAAACAGAGCCTAAGAGAACATCTACATGTTCTAGAGCAGGAGGGGTCCAACCCTCGGCCCGTGGGCCACATGCCGCCTCGGACGGCTATGAATGTGGCCCAACACAAAATTGTAAATTTACTTACAACATTGTGAGACCTTTTTGTTTTCATTAGTGTTTGTGTATTTAATGTGTGGCCCCGGACAACTCTTCTTCTTCCAGTGTGGCCCAGAGATGCCCAAAGACTGGATACCCCTGTTCTCAAGGTTTGTTAAGGAAAGATTGGGAAAATGAACTTATTCTTCATAGAAAAGTAGTAGGAGTAAAAAAGTAGAGACTGAAAGAAGGTACTCACAACACTTTGCAGACAAAGAACTCCTATCCAGCACGTATAAGCAACTCCTACATACCAACAAGAAAAAGCTGAACAGTCCAGGGAAAAACGGACAAGGGGGCACATTTAAGCAGATCCAATGAACAAATGAAACCATCTTCAACCTCATTAATAATCAGGATAAAGCACAGTAAAGCCATAAAAAATGACTGACAACACCATATGTTGGCAGAAATATATAGCAACTAAAATACTAATTGGAGTACAAATGGGCACAACTACTTTTGAGGCAGGTTAGTAAGCAGCCAGGAAAATTCCTTGGCAATTGGAATGGGGAAACTGAAACAGATAGCTAAACAAGGTGGAGCAATTTACAGCCAAGTAATAAATCCTAAAATTTATCTTCCATAACCAAGGACACAAGAGCAAATAGCTTGCACATTCCAGACCACGCAGGGGCAGACCCAACTTGATCCTGGTCCCTCTCTGGTGACATTCTTTAAAGGTTAAACTGACCAGAGAATAGACCCTGGTCCCCCATGTGCTCCTTTTGATTCATCAGCATATCAAAGGAAACACCGGGAAAGCTGGTAATATTCTAATCGAGAACTCCCCTAAAATTCCCACCTTTAGAAAACAGATAAAAACCCTTAAGACAAAGGACCCATTTTGTGCTTTCTTGAGCACGCCTGTGCCTCCCCCCTCCCCTTTCTTGTCTCAGGTGTGTATCTTTGCTTTCTTTCTAAACTCTAAAGGTTCCCAGGAGACTTACAACCAGGGGAGCAGCAGGCAGTGGCAAGTCATCCCATGCTAACCCCCTGAACCTGTCCTCAAGGGTCCTCCTTATGCCTCTGTAACTTGTTTCCTGAGTCTACTCAGCCCAGTATGACTCACTTCTTTTGTCTCTGCGACTTTCTTTCTAAAGGGCCAAGTCAGCCTCACCTAAGCTCAATCTTCCTCACTTTCCCAAAGGGCCAAAGCAGTTCCACCTAGGTTCACTCCTGTTGCTATGATCTTACTTCTTCTATTTTAAGCCCTTCCTTGTTCCCCAGCTTTAATACACATACTTTCAAAGTCACTTGGACTTGTGTCATGAAATCTTTCCAGTAAGAAGTCAAAACCCCACATTCCAGACTGTATCAGGGCAGAAACACCTTGGTCTCTGTCCTGGTCCCTTTACAGTGACACTCTGAAGATCAGCGTGGCATTCTACTAAAGTTCCACATTTGTATACCCTATGAGCTAATAATTCCATTCTTGACTAAACACACAACAGAAATACATGCATGTATGCACTAGAGGAAATGTGTGAAATGTTTACAGAATTTACCCAACAGCCGCAAACAGAAATAAATCCACATAACTTCAACATTAAAATGAATACACTATAGTATACTCATGTGCTGAAATATACAGCAATGAAAATGGAGTAACTCTAGCTACATGCAACAACATTGATGATCTTTACAAAGATCATACTAAGTGAAAAAAAACTAGGCACAAACGAGTGCATTCTGTATATTTCCATTTACATAAAATTCAACAGTGGTCAAAACTAAAGCATTAAACTGAAACATTAAAGACAGAAGAGTAGTACCACTCGGAAAAAAGCAGGAGGGACCCCAGTGGTGATGGCAATGTTTCTATTTCTTGCACTGGGTGGTAAAGTGGGTATTGGCTTTGCAATAATAATTGTAAAGAAATACATAGGAAAAAGGAAGAAGCTAGCTTTCTCTAGGATTAAACACTCAAAGTAGCTTTACTGGCTGGCATTGCTGCCGAGGGACCACTAAGTAAGAAAACAAAGTGGCCCCATTTCTGGTTTGGAATTGGAGTGACTATGACAGCCAATAGTTTCAGTTTCACTTCTTGCATCTTATTATTGCCCAGAATAGTTTGTTGGGCTGTAAGACAGAAACAAAGAACCTGTAACAACCTTTCCTATTATCATCAGAATCCTGCTCAACCAACACTTCCTGAAGGTATACTCCTCTGGTCATGCGGAGGTGGCACATGAAATGAAATATACTGCCATCTCGGAGCTGTAGTGATGATAAGTATTAGTTTCACATGATCTGGCAGATGACAAAAAAGGCTCTAAGGAAATGTGGCAACTAAATGTGTAGCATCCTGGATTAGATCGCTGGCCCAGAAAAAAAAAATTAGTGGGAAAACAGGTAAAGTTCTAACAGTCCATTAATTTAGCTAACCCTACCATAATAACATTAATATGTTGGTTTTGATCACCGTACTATTGTTATGTAAGATACATCAGAAGGTATGTGATGGGTCTACAGGAATTCTCTGTACTAGTTTTGCAACCTTTCAGCAAATAAAATGATTTCAAAATAAAAACTTAAAATGCTTTTAAAAATCAGCTGGAAATCATTCTTAACTTACTGAAAATTAACATTCCTATCTTCACTGAAACGTTTAGCTGCTATCAGTAAAATTGTCATAAACAAAGGAAATACCAACAGATGACAATGTGATACTGCCAAGTCACTATTATTGTAAATAGAGAAATCATTTTTCATTTAAAGATAATGTTACTATGTTGCTCAATACCTCCCATAAGAACAATGGTGCCTTTTTAACTTGTTTTTTTCTGATTGGCAACATTGGGTTTCAAACAGACTAAGTCTCAGTTAAAACAGGAGGAAACAAAACAGGCTAAGATAGGATTGGTAGGACATAAAGCTAGGCAAAACTGAAGGTTATTTCTACCTATACTCTTCTAGAAACGATTTAGATGACTTATTAAAAACTCATGATAAAATTAGTATATGAGATGAAATATACAAACCCTGTTATTAGAACATACAGTTCAAAATACAAGAAAAGTTTTACAATACAGTAGGGATAACCCTGTTGCAGTCAAAAGGTGGAAATTTAAGTTCTGTATCTAAATAGAAATGTAATTAGGTATTTCCCCAATTTGCTAAATAAACTGAAAAAAATTAAAATAAGAATATAAATGAACTGCAAGGTAAATTGAGACAGAAGAGTCATCTTACTGTCAGTGAAAGAACATCCAAAACCCATTAAAAAGTTCTATAAGAGTTTATTTGAGTCAAATTTTTCAGGGCATGCCCAGAAGCAAGATCTCAACAGATTGAGAAAATGCTCAGAAGAATGGCAGCTTTGCAGTTCCTCTTATGCATTAGACTCAAAGGAGAAAACAAAAGAAGATAAATGAAATCCACTGTGATAGATTAAGTGGGCAGAAGAAAGCAAAGTAGGGAAATCTCTAGGATTAAATAAAAAGAAGGGGAATGGGAGGTAGAAGACTATATATAGGGGGATAAATGGTAACGGAAGAAGACTTGTCTTAGGGTGGTATACACTCAATACAATGTAAAAATGATGTATTATAGAATTGTATACCTGAAACCTATATAATTTTATTAACCAGTGTCACCCCAATAAATTCATTTAAAAAAATAAAATAAAAATAAAAAGCAAAATGGAGAAATTCTTTCTTTTATATTGGTGGATACAGCAGTGTTAACAATGAACATATACAGTACACAGAGATACTATGCAGGGAAGAAGATAATAATGAGAGGTTCTGTAGTCTCCTGCTCTAATGGTCTTATGCTCTAGTGCCTGCAGTTGCACCTTCGAGGGATCTAAAAAAGAAAATTACTCTGGCCCTGGCCAGGTAGCTCAATTTGTTACAGCATCATCCCAACACGCCAAGGTTTTTGGGGTTTAATCCCTGCTCAGGGTGCATACAAGAATCAATCAATGAATGGATAAATGAGTACAAAAACAAATTGATGTCTCTCTCTCTTCTCTCTCTGAAAATCAATCAATAAATAAAATTTTAAAAATTACTCTGACATTTTAAAGGTATGTTATCCTAGATGCACAAGAACAATGGACAGAACTCAAAGACTGACCTCTGCTAAGGGAGCGTGGGACATGACTACCCACCATGGCCTGTTAGAAATCTGTGACCAGAACATCCTGTGTCCTTAGTCACTAAGCTTGTCAGGGCTGCCATGTGCCCCAGATTGTCAGGTTTGTTATATATCCCTTTTTCATTCACAATACAAATAGAAAAGCTGCTTTTTTAAAAAAGAAAGAAAAACAGTTAACCATGTACAGACTCATAAGAATCCCCGAGATAAATTTAACAAACCAAAGAAAGCAGGTGAAATCAAAGAGAAAGTATAATTGCCACCAACCACTTCGTTTTGTTGCTTTAAACCATGCTCTCTGTCTTCAGCATATTTTTTCATCTCTTTGTTTCGTAGATTCTCTGCTTCTTTTGCTTGAGTGATTAGCATCATTTTTTCATCTAACCATTTCTTTCTATCAGATTCATATTTCTGCTCAGATTCCTATATACATAAACAGTACAAATAACTGTCACATGCTTAAATAGTAAAAAAATCTATTTTTATACTCTTTTCATAAAACTCATCACTTTTTTACCATTCTAAAAATTTAAAAGTGGTTTTCTTTCAACAATGACAACACCAGAGTTTATTTCAGATTATAAAATGAACATTGGTGGTTTGCTTTCCTAAACTGTATTTCCTTTATAAACTTTACTTTCTATGAAGCCTACTATTTAAGGACTTGATTTAATCAGTGAGAAAAAGAAAAAACGAGCAATTTGAATTCCTGAAAATGTTACAAAGCCAAGTCTTCCTAAATGTCAGGAAAACAAAACAAAGACTTGGTTTATTTGGTCATATTTAATTATATGGTTCCAAAAGTAAAATATTCCTGGGTATATAGGAAGACAAATAAAAACAACTTATGCAATAGGACAAATATTTATTAGTTTAAGGACCACTGAAAACAGCTGGACAGAGATTACAGTTGACCAGTAACTTCTACAGTGGCCTCCATAGATCCTTTGGGTTCAAAAGCATCTAATTTATACATTCAAAATCCAAGTGAACAAAAACAATATCCCACTTTAAAATGTATGTCCCACTGTTCTAAAAACTTTTAAAAGCACTGTACTACATGAACTATGGCAGTCCATTCCACAATTACAAAATGTTATAATCTAAAATACATGATTATATCATTTGAGAACAATGAAAACATACCACTGCTCCTTAGTGTAAATATTCTCAATATAGTTAATAATTTTTTTTCATAATTAATGGAGTATTTACTTGGGGTTTTCACAATGGAAAGGATAAAGTCTAGACTATGTAATTAACAATTACAAAATAAAGTAACAAAAGGACTCATGGACACAGACAATAGTGTGATGATTGCTGGGGTGAGGGGGATCTAAGGGAATAAAACAGTAATAAAAAATACAATAAAGATATGTCAAAAAATTAATAAGTAAAAAAAGTAACAATGTTTTTGTATTTGTTCAGTACCCAATTACATACAACCTAAATTTTAAAAAATTTAGATGCAACTTTTCAAAATTATTATTACATTTTCTTCCATCTCAAATCTAGTTATGAATGCAACTCTTAATATACAAAATTTTAAGTGGTATTTGGTAAATACTATTAAAAACATATTTCCCCCACATGTTGTCTTCTATACATAGCATGTTAGAGTTGAACATAAAATACATAAACACCAAGTTGAATATCTTCTATATACTATGGTTTTGAATATATCCCAGTTTCCAAATATACAACTCTGTTCTTTTCCATCTTAATAATTACATACTGAAAAAATTTACAATAATCAAAATAATTTTCCTAACAGTCATTTTCTCCACAGCAGGTTTTAATGAATAAGAAGTTTAAGGGCTAGAAAAATAGGTAAGACACGGTAATTTTATTATTAAATTATAGAATATAAAACTGAAGACTCAAACCCTTGTATTTTCATTATCAATTACTTTGTATCTTGGGAATTTTCTCCCTGTCATTTCAATATATACTGAAAAAATTATATCAATATATTAACACTTCTTAAGAGTTATTTTACCCATATCTAAATTAATTATCAACTACTTACTGAATTTTTCTCTCATAAGAAATATAATATATAGACATATAGATTACATACATAAATAAAATCATACCTGTAACTCATCTTGAAGTTCCCTGAGCTTTTTACTGAGTACATCTGTGTAATCCTCAAATTCCCTATTTGCCCTTTGATTACTTTTTGCTTCCAGATCTTTGAATTTTTCCTTCAATTTTTCCAATTCTGTTTGAAAAAATTAACTTTAAAAACATGTGCAAAAGTTATACCATTTACAGATATACATGGTATGGGATACAGACAAGACTCAGAAGAGCCCAGAAAAAGAGAGATCAAGAAAGAACTAGAGCACTGACCAGTGTGATTCAGCTAGTTGGGTATCATCCTGCAAACCTATAGGTCAACAGTTCGATCCCTAGTCAGAGCACAGGCCTGGGTTGCCGGCTCAGACCCTGGTCAGGGTGTGTACAAGAGACAACTGATCTATGTTCTTCTCTAACATCGATATTTCTCTCCCTCTCTTCTCCCTCCCTTCCCCTCTCTCTAAAAATAAATGAATTTTTTTTAAAAAAGACACAACTAGAACTATATGAAGAGTTGCACTTTAAAGAGTTCTTACCAAATTTTAGAGAAGAGGAACTAGAAGGACCAATGAATAATGCTCAAAGTGTACAATGGTGTTCTGAAGGATGGAATCAGAGTATTTATACAAGATGATACAAAGAGCTAGACAGAGGTAAAATTTAGTTGAAAGTTTATTCTTTTTCATATATATATACATTTTTTATTTATTTATTTTTAGAGAGGGAAGGGAGGGAGAAAGAGAGAGAGAGAGAGAAACATCAATGTGCGGTTGCTGGGGGTCATGGCCTGCAACCCAGGCATGTACCCTAACTGGGAATTGAACCTGTGACACTTTGGTTCGCAGCCTGTGCTCAATCCACTGAGCTACGCCAGCCAGGGTGTGAAAGTTTATTTTTATCATCTGGGGAACATTGCAGGTAATCATCCAGTTATTATGAACATGTCCTTACTCCTTCTTTACACAATTTTACTTAGATAAAACAATTTTTATCACACTGGAAAAGAGAAATGGCAGGGCGCTCCAATATCATACTGAATATTATTTCATTAAGAATCATTATAAATAAGCCCTGGCTGGCGTAGCTCAGTGGATTGAGCGCAGGCTGCGAACCAAGGTGTCGCAGGTTCGATTCCCAGTCAGGGTACATGCCTGGGTTGCAGGCCATGACCCCCAGCAACCGCACATTGATGTTTCTCTCTCTCTCTTTCTCCCTCCCTTCCCTCTCTAAAAATAAATAAAATCTTTTAAAAAAAGAATTATTATAAATACTACAATACTTTAAAAAGGAAAGACATCTAGGAAAATAAAAAATGCAAGAGTATGTCTTGAGATATTTAAGCAAACTTGTTTTACCTGTGGCCAGTCTTTCAGTTTCCTCTAATTTGGCTTCAAGCACTTGCTCTTGCTCTACCTGAGTTTGTTCTTGTTCTTCCAGTGTCATTCGCATGTCTTCAATTATTTTTTCTTTAACACTTAGATCTAAAAATTTGGGGTGAACATTTTAGAAATTACTAACATCCATTTTCTTCTATCCAGTTTTTCTTGAATTCTTCTAAAAACTAAAATACACTTTTATTAACTATAACAGAAGATGAGTTCCATACAGACAGAACTTTGTCTTGTTCTCTGCTGTACCGCCAATGCCTAGAACAGTACTGGCACAGATGAGGCCCCAAATAAATATCTGATGTACAGATGGACACTTGGATGATCGCAAGAATGCACAAATGGAAAGAAATCTTTTCAAATAAAATTAACAAATTTTTATAATATTAAACTATTAATACTAATAAGCACAAATCTTGGGATTTAGAAGATGCATTACTTGGCAAAATAATTTTAGTCTTAATATTCTCAAACCAAAATTAAAACTTTTACCTCTTAAAAACAAAAAAGGCTCCATCACAATATGATTTATTTTCTTAAATCAAATCAAGTAACTATTTTCACAGCAAATTTTTCAAAGCTAAATATTTACTTCTAGTGTTTTTAAAACCAGCCCTTGAAAAATGACAATGTCTTGGAAATCTATTTTAATCCTATCTGCTAGAAAGACAGGAAGAGGAAAGATTATTTTGTGCCCTCTAGTATTGGCCACATAGTAGCTAAGCTCATCTGAGAGATACCTCTTACCAAAACCACTGCTGGTGTCAGAGGTGACAAACCTATAAACACATATAGGTCAACCTCAGGTAACTAAAAGTAACATTAAATGACAAAAATCTCAAAAGGTGGCTCCCTCAAAATGCACATAAAGCAAGCTTAACACAAATAAAAAATAAGAAAAAATTATATGAGTAATTTTCAGTGTATCTGTCCACTGATGTAAGCTGCTAGGAGTGCTAACCAAACAGAATTCCTCCCAAGATTAAAGGAGTCAGTATTACCATCTAAAGTCTTTCTTTCAAAATGCATGACTTGCAAAATATTCATATTATGCAATTAATTATAAATTTATTTGAAGAATCCCTTTCCTTTCCCATTCAATATTTTGCACAAAACTAGAGGGCTAGAACAAGAGTTTAAGTATCTAATTATCAACTAGGAGAGTCCCAGGGCACCAATGATAACTTAACCAATGGCTATCCACCTATTATTTGAAAGGCAGGCACAGTAAAGGAAAAGAATTATTTCATCAGTCACTGCCTCCAATAATTTACATTTTACCTCAGGATAGAATCCAGAAATATATAAAAACAAAACAAAATTAAGCACATAAAGACAACTATTAAACAGATATCTCATCATAGCTGAAAAAAAAATACTATCAAATGAATAGGTCAGTGATTTTCACCTGGTGTGCTGCAAAGAGGCACACCAGTGTGATATAAGAATTCTTAAAATATGCAAACCCGATTATTTAGTCAGGTGCATGGACCTCTTTTCCCTTAGATTGTCAATTAAAAAATGACAACAGCCAACAAAATAGCCATCTGGTGTGAATGACTCAAAACTATACCTATTTTCTTTTTGTCAAATGGGCAAAAATGTACTTTTTGGTGCGATGCAGAATTTTAGTAATTAGTTTATATGTGCCACGAGATGAAAAAGGTTGAAAATCACTGGGAAAAGTATCAGGAGCTTAATATTCAGGAAAGAGGATCCCTGAGAGCTATAATGTTCTGGAAAAGATTCAAAGAGGAAAGGCTTAAGCGTAACATTGGAGAACCGGTAGGAGAAGGGACATTACAAAATCTAGGGTCAAAAATGACACATAAATGTTATATAAAATCCCAGATTAGAAAAACTCACTTAGTGACAGTTCAAGTTTCAGAATACCAGTTACCAGATGTCTACAAAACAAGTAGAAAAGCTTGAAATCACGTGATACTGTTTCATCTACCACATCAGCCCTAAGACTGAAGTTTTAGAACACCCAATGCTCCCATTGGCAACAATGTGGGCAAACAGGCCCTCTACATACTATTACTGAGTATAAACTACCACAAGCACTTTGGGGAACAGAAAAGCAGTATTTATAAAAATTTCAAGTATACATCATTGGGCCAACAATTCCTTTGCTAGGAATTTCCCCTACAAATATATTTACTAGTATATGTATGCACAAAAACTTTTGTGCAAATATATTTGTGGTATTATCTATAACAACAAAATTATGACTGAAATAACCAAAAAAATTTAATCATAGGGATCATATTAACAAAGAGATTATAAAATGTGTTGACTATTAATTTTCTGATATAGTATTATGCTCATGAAAGACAATGGTTTTACCTTAAAAGTTTCATGATAAAGTATTTACATGTAAGGTACTATTGATGCTTGCAAATACCTTTCAAGTCACTGTTTAATATATACATATATAAGAGAAAAACAGAGATGCAAATAAGGCAAACAATTAAAAATGGTAAATCTAATAAAGGGTATTCAGGTGTTCTTTACATTGACCTTTTGACTCCTTTGCAACTGTTTTTCTTTTTAATTAAAATTTGGAAAAAGTTGAAATCATTACCTGAACTTTACAAGCAATGAAACTGTACCTTAAATTAGCATTAATATTCCTTCTACTGAACTTTGAAATTATGTTTCATTTATGATCGACACCATGTCTTTGGTGAAAAAAAGGACTCTATTTCTTGTCATGTGTTCTCTTCTATGCACATTATAATCAGTTGTATCTCCCTTGTCCTACTCAATGTTGGTATATACTTAAAATTTTCTTTCAAGATAATAAATTTTTTCTCCCATTAAAAAGTCATATTAAACCAATTGATTATAGAATCATAAATAGCCTTTAAAAATAAAGAGGTTAACAGAGGGAGGAAAAGATAAGGCAAACGTGACACAGGAGTACTTCTGGCCAAGATGGAGGCATAGGTAGATACACTTTGCCTCCTCACACAACCAAAAGAAGGACAACAACCAATTTAAAAACAAAAAACAACCAGATCTGCCAGAATATGGAACTGTATGAAAGTCTGACAACCAAGGAATTAAAGAAACATTCATCCAGACTGGTAGGAGGGGCAGAGATGGGCAACCAGGGTGGGGAGGATTGGAGGCAAGACAGCAGCTGGCAGATGGGGAGGGCTAGGAGGTGGCTGGCAACTGGGATATCCCACATTCAGATAAGCCAGGAGGAACAACTAGGGAGTGAGACAGACCATGCAACCCAGGGTTCTAGCAAAGGGAAATAAAGCTTCAAAACTTCTGGCTGTAAAAATTTGTGGGGGTTGCAGCAGTGGGAGAAACTCCCAGTCTCACAGTAACATTCATTGGAGGGACCCTAGGGTCCTAGGGCCCTATAACATATACAAACCACCCACCTGGGAATCAGCACTAGAAGAAGCCATTTGTTTTTGGGTAATGGTGGAAATGACAGAAAATGGGCAAGCTGAGCAAGCAACATTGTTCTCTCTCTGACCCCTCCCCCACATACAGTGCCACAACAGAGTAAAGTGGGTTGCCCCACCCTAGAGAATACCTAAGTCTCCACCCCCTCCAATGTTAACAGGTCTACCAAGACAAAGAAAGAGGCCCAAATGAAAGAACAGATCAAAACTCCATAAAAAGAACTAAGCAAGGAGGAGATGTCCAATCTATCAGTTGCAGAGTTCAAAACACTGGTAAATCAGGATGCTCACAGTAATGACTGAGTGCGGTCACAAAATAGAGGAAGACATGTAGGCTATGAAAGTGAAATAAAGAAAAATATACAGAGAAGCAGTTGTGACGGGAAGGAAACCAGGACTCAAATCAACAATTTGAAACAAAAAGAAGAAATAAACATTCAACCAGAACAAAATGAAGAAATAAGAATTCCAAAAAATGAAGAAGGCTTAGGAATCTCTGGGACAACTTTAAACATTCCAACATCTAAATCACAGGGGTGCCAGAGAAGGAGAGGAAGAAGAGCAAGAAACTGAAAACTTATTTGAAAAAATAATGAGGGAGAACTTCCCCAATCTAGCAAGGAAATAGCCATGCAAGTCCAGAAAGCTCAGAGAGTCCCAAAGAAGTTGGACCAAGGAAGCACACACCCAGGCACATAATAATTACATCACCCAAGATTAAAAATAAGGAGAGAATCTTAAAAGCAGCAAGAGAAAAGGAGACAGTTGCCTACAAAGGAGCTCCCATAAGACTATCAGTTGATTTCTCAAAAGAGACCTTACAGGCAAGAAGGGGCTGGAAAGAAGTATTTGAAGTCATTAAAGGCCCTACATCCAAGATTACTCTATCCAGCAAAGCTATCATTTAGAATGGAAGGGCAGATAAAGTGCTTTCCAGAATAGGTCAAGTTAAAGGAGTTCATCACGATCAAGCCCTTATTATATGAAATGTTAAAGGGACTTATCTAAGAAAACAAAGATCACAACTATGAACAGTAAAATAACAACAAACTCACAACTATCAAGGACTGAACCTAAAAAACAAAAACAAAAACTAAGCAAACAACTAGAACTATAGAAATGGAGATCACATGGAGGGTTATCAGTGGGGGGGAGGGGGAGAATAAGTGAAAAGGTACAGGGAATAAGAAGCATAATTGGTAGATAAGGGGAGATTAAGTGTAGTATAGGAAATGAAGAAGCCAACAAACTTATGTATATGACCTATGGACAGGAACTAAGGTGAGGGGAATGCTGGAGGGAGGAGAGCATGTAGAGTAGAGGGGGATAAAAGGGAGAAAAAAATGAGACAACTATAATACCATAATCAATAAAAAGATAAGGTAGACTTGTATATGTACCAAATCTACAGAAATTAGCAATTTCCTCTGGGGTCTTGTTCTTGCGATCACGCACTTTCACAGACAATGTGGTCTTTTGTTTGCCTTCTCTATCATGGGAATAGAGGCAAAATGGAGCAAGGCAGATTAGGAAACAAATTAGTCTGGATAAAATTTGAAAAGTTATACAATATTAGGCTATAAAAAGGGAGGCCACTATGTCAAGATACAGTGTGAAAGTTTATTGTGTAGGCAGTTTGAAATGATCAAATACTTTTAATAGGAATATGAGAATAAAATAAGAGTTTCAGAAAATTTTAATCTAGCTGTATGGCTATACAAGAGAATGAGTTTGACATAAGGCCTGGCAAAGGGATAGGAAAAATATGAGGACTCACTAGGAAAAGATGTAACAGAAGTTAGGTACTGATTCTGAGGATAAGCGGAAACTATTATTTAAAGTCTAAACCAGGGTGAGCAAACATCTTCTGTAAAAGGTCAGACAGTAACTATTTTAAGGTCTGTCACGACTACTTGCTGCTGCTACTATAATGTGAAAGCAGCCACAGACAATACATTAGAAAATGTGTTGCCATGTTCTAATAAAACTTTATTTACAAAATTAAGCAGTGAGCTGACTTTGGTCAGAGGGCTACCCTTGTTAACCCCTGCTCCAAACATTGAAAACAGTGGAAATCAATAGTAGAAACAGAGAGAAGGTAAGATAGCGTAAGAAAAGAAAATGGCAGACCAATATCCCTCATAAGTATAGATGCAAAACCTCAACAGAATACTAGCAAACTGAAACTAGCAACATATAAAAGCATTGTACACCATGATCAAGTGAAACTCATCCCAGGAATGCAAGTTTGGTTCAACATATGAAAATCAATCAATGCAATGCAATGTATTAATAAAGAATAAAAATCACATGATCATCTCAATAAATACAGAAGAAAGCATTTAACAAAATCCAACACCCTTTCGTGATAAAAATACTTAACAAACAATGAACAAAAGGGAACTTTCTCAAACTGATAAAAGGCATCAACAAAAACCCTATACCTAACATTATACATAATAGTGAAAGAATAAAAACATCCCCCTAACATCAAAAACAGGATATTCTCACCATTTCTAGTCAACACTGTTCTAGTGGCTTTGCCAAGGCAATTAGGCAAGAATGAGAAACAAAAGGCAAACAGAGTGAGTGGAAAGGGGGAAGTAAAACTATCTCCACTTGCAGAAGACATGATCTTGTATATAGAAAATCCTAAGGAATCCCCCCCAGAAAAGGAAAGGAAAAAAAAAAAAAACACTGAAAAGAATTCTAGAATATCTAACTAAATGAAATGATATCCCACATTTATGGTTTATATTGTTAGGCTGGCCAATTCCCCAAATAGACTGTCAGATTTAACACAAACCCCATCAAAATTCCAGCTGGCTCTTTTGCAGAAAATGACAAGCTAACTGTAAAATTCATGTAGAAATCCAATGAACTCAAAATAGCCAAAGCATTCTTGCAAAAGAACAAAAGTGGGAGGATTCATACTTCATATTTCAAAACTTACATAAAGCTACAAGTAACAATACAGTGTGGTAGGGCTTAAGGATAGACATATAGATCAATGAAAAACTGAGATTCCAGAAATAAATCCTTATATTACAGTCAACTGATTTTCAGCATAAGTGCAAAGGCAATGCAGTGGAGCAAAGAACAGTCTTTTCAACAAATGGTGCTGAGACAACTGGACCTCTATATGCAAAAGAATTAAGATAGACACCTACTTCAAACACTATACAAAATTATATTCAATTGATGAATACAAAATGGATCAAAAATCTAAAAATATAAGAGGCAAAACTAAAAACTCTAAGGTGACCCAGGTGACTCTGAAATAGGCAGTAGTTTCTTAGACACAACACCTAAATCACAAGTAATCAAAACAAAATAGATAACCTAAACTTCATCAAAATTGAAAACTTTTATACATCAAGGGACTCTACCAAATAATTGAAAAACAACCCAAAGAATGGGAGAAAACATCTGCAAATCATTTATCTGATAAGGGTCTAATATCCAGAATATATAAAAAACTCTTACAACTCCAAAGTAAAAAGACAACCCAATTTTAAAATGAGCAAAGTAGTTAACAGACATTTCTCCACAGAAGATATACAAATGGCCAACAACTGAAAGCTAGATTCTCAATATCTTTAGTTATTAGGGAAATGCAAATCACTAACACAATGACATACTACTTTATATTCATCAAATTGTTAGGTTAAATAGTGTTCCCAAAAATTTAATGTCCACCCACTATAAATATGACCTTCTTTGGAAATATGGTCTTTGTAGATGTAATCAAGTTTAGAATAAAGTCATATTGGATTAGGATGGGCCCAAATCTAATGACAAGTGTCCTTACACAAAGAGGGAAACTCAGACACACATAGGAAGAAGACACTGATACAGACACACCAGAAGGAAGATAGCCATGTTAAAAACAAAGACAGACTGGATATGCACTGACACGAGTAAAGAAAACAAAGGGTTGCCATTAACCACCAGAAGCTGGAAAACACAAGGAAAGATTCTTCCCTTGAACCTTCATTAAGAAGCACATCAATATCTTATTTTGGATTTCTAGTTTTTACAATTGTGACAGAACAAGTTTTTGTTGTTTTAAGCTACCCAGTTTGTGGTACTTTGTCACAGCAGTTGTAGGAAACTAATAAAGATAGTTATAACTTTAAAAATTAAAAAATAAGTGTTGGCAACATCATGAAGAAACTGGAAGCCTCATCCACTGCTGGTAGGAACATAGTATAATACAGCCACTGTGGAAAATATGACAGTTCCTCAAAGAGTTCAACATACAGTTACCGTAGGATACAGTAGTTCCACTACTAGATATACATCCCAAGAGAACTGAAAACATATGTTCACCCAAAAACTTGTACACAAATATTCATAAAAGCCAAAAAGTGGAAACAATCCAAATGCCTATCAAGTGATACATAAATAAAAAGTGGCCATGGATTGTGTGGCTCAGTTGGTTGGAGCACTGTCCTACAGACCAAAAGGTCACGGGTTCGATTTCTGGTCAAGGCACATATACTCAGGTTGTGGGTTTGATCCCCAGTCAGAACATGTACAAGAAGGCAACCATCAATGTTTCTTTCTCCCCAGCCACATTTTTCTCTCTCTAAAAAAAATGTCCTACTCATAAAATGAACTATTAGTTGGCCATAAAAAAGAATGAAGTAGTGACATGCTCCAGTATGGATGAAACTCGAAAACACACTAAGTAAAAGAAGTCAGACACACATGCTGTATGAATCCACTTACATGAAATGTCTACAACAAGCAAATCCACAGAGAGAGAGAAAGTAGATTAGTGGTCGACAGGAACTGGTGAATACAGTAAACCCACTAAAATGTACAATTTTGAAGGGTAAATTTTATGGTATATGTATATATCTCAATTATTTTGAAAACAAATTTACTAAGATAGCTAAGTGAATGGCGTTCAGTAAATAGAAATGTATAAGCCAGAGAAAGCCTCAAAAACTGAAAATACACTTTTTTGTTCAGGAGTAAGTGAGTGATAGGAAGAAGAGGAATCTGCATAATTTGTGAACAGAAATAAAGGGGTGGGCAAAAGTAGGTAAGAACTCTGTGCCAAAGTGTGCTTGAGTATACAGTAAGTAGACTACAAAAATATGTAAATAATGAAGGCTGGCAATTTGAGCACTTACAAGGTTGTACCTAAATGCACTGTGCCATTGTGATATTCTTGTGAGTTAATAAAGCTACTGTAATAATCATAACCTGCATGTCTTTTTCTATACAAAGAACTATAAACCTATTTTTATAATATTTGAAGTTAAAAAAATGCAATTCGAGTTAAGCATAATTCAGTACACACAATTTGAACCTAAAATTTTAATTTTTTTAATACTTCATACATTTTTTTAAATTTTAAAGCTATTTTATTTCAAGTATACTCTACATAATTTTGTCTAAAATGCTATTCCATTCATTGTGACCTATGTAACTTTGACTTTATTTTTCACAAAATACTAGGCATTACTTAGAGATGAACATAGCTTTGACCGAGTGTTTTTTAATGTTTTATATTTTTAAGAATAAACCTTACACTGATAAGTTATTCATTAGAATCAATGTTTTTCTGTTTTGATAATGTTACAGCTTATGTTGCCCTTATTTTACTTTTGAATTTTCAAAGGAAAATGCTAAACCAATTGTTATTGCAACTATTTTGCCAGTCATTTTAATAATGGAAGTATAAGTTTTTTCCTGACCTTTGCACACTCTCTCATACTGCTGGATAGCTTCTTCCACTTTCTGATTACTTAACTGCTCCTACAAAATGAAAAAATATGATTTAAATGCAAATGTAACAAAAACACAGCAACAATGTATAGTGGGGCCTGAAAACAGAGTTCAGTATTAGGTTTGATATCTTTCTCCTACAAAGCTACTGTTTTCAAGATTCCAGTGTCTTTCACCTTGGAGAAAAGAGGAGAGTGAGAGTTTAGTAAGAAAAAAACAGTAATAATAATTTTATAATCTACCTCATTTTACTCAAGATTTTAAGTTACTATGTTCTCTTACACTCCACAAAAAGCAAAAACAAGGAAATGGAGGTTGACTGTGTACTTAACAAAGCAGGAGCAAAAAAACAGTATGAAAGTTCCATATAGGCAAATTCAAAATGTAGAAAAATAAGGTCCTCCATCCCCTCTATGTAGATAGAAAGTAGGTGGAAGGTTTGAAAAATAATCAAAGCCTTAAAAGCCAATAATAAATTACGGGTACTGAAAATCCTCCAATTCCAATTTTAATCTGTCAGGTAATCCAACCTCATTCATTATTTCATCCGACTTGAACACTATGTTCTAACTTCTTAAGTCTTACAATGAATCATTACAGAACCTGAAAATCTCTGAATTGTATTATGAAGGTACAGATTGCTTTATTAGGATTATATTCAGTTAAAATTTTAAATCACATGTTTATGCCTGAATATTCATTAGTTTGCTTCCTTTAAAAATAAACATGCAAAGAATATGACAATCTTTCTTTACTGTTGCCTTAACCAATTAATTGAAGTCAAGTAAAATATATCGATTTACAAAGAGATTTTGCTTTTGCTTAAGTGTCCTCTTTAAAAAACTTTTTATAAGATCTGCGCTTTTTCTTTTTACTTTTTGTTTTGAAATAATTTTAGATTAATAAAAGAATAACAAAGATAGAAGAGATTTCCTACAAAAACCTCCACTTAGCTTCCCTAATTTCAACATCTTTTATTACCATGGTATATTTACTTAAAAATCAAGAAATGAACATTAGACACAAAAAAATAAGCAGTTGACTCTCAAAGCTATTATTTAGAAAATGGAATTAATCATTTTTGTAAGGAAAAAATAAATTAGCATTGGTATAATATTATCAACACTACAGACCTTACTTGGATTTCACCAGTTTCTCCACTGATGTTCTAGGACCCCACACACCATACAAAACTGCATTTAGTCATCATGTTTCCTTAGTATCAGTTTCTCAGTAATGCTTTTCTTTAGTGACTTTGACACTTTTTGCTGGTCACATAGTTAGAACATCCTCAATTTGGGTTTGTCTGATGTTTTCTCACCATTAGACTGAGTTCATGGATTTGGAGGAAGAATACCACAGGGAAGATGTGCCCTTCTGGTCACATCAAATCAGAAAATACATGTTAACAAATATGCCTTACCACTCATGAGACTCTTCTTGAATACTTGGTTAAGGTGGTATCTGCCAGATTTCTCCACTGTAAAGTTCCTATTTTTTCCTTTCCATACTCTAATCATTAGAAGCAAATCACTATTAACTTCATTTTAACCAATTTATTTTTTAATTGCAGAAAAAGTCAAAAGAGAATTTGGTATAAAGAACTGATTTTTTTTAGACACTAAAATATACAGATTCTACTTAAACAATCATTTTCAAAAACTGTTACCTTGAGTTGTTGAATGGTTCGCTGTTTCATATCTATTTCCTGAGAACACTGGTTTTTCTTTTTCTCCAGTTCATTAATTTTAATCCTCAGTAATTTTTCTTCCTCACGCATTAGAGTTACCTACAAAGTAATGATTATAAAACAAATTAAGCATTTTTCTAAATATTAATTGCTTTTTGTTTAAAATTCATGGCCACTGGTTCAAAGATTCATGTCCTTAAAAACCTATTTTACAAGTACAGATTCTGACATAGTATAAAATACAGCTTCAAATTATTACAATATTTCTTAATACTTCAAAGGAGAATGCATATGAAGAAATCATTTTCTTCTTACATTTTAAAAATCCTAAACTCTGTAAGCTCTCAGAAAAGAATCAACATAGCATCTTGGATATAACAGCAAAATCATTATCATGGAAAAATTAAAGAAACATTCCAGGGGGAAAATAATGGCTCACATTTCCAAGGTTTATTCAGTAATATAATCCAGCAATACAAGAAATTTTTTAAAAGCTAATAATGGCACTTAGAGGGCAAAAATGGAACAATTACATGACCAGAAGGCACACAGGCAAGGGAAAGTTCATTGATTTTTGGTATTAGTGGTACCTAATTCTACAAACTTGTTATAGAAGTCAAAAGCACTATGAACTAGTATAAAAATGTTCCAAGACAGAGAGAGAAATCTGTACATATCTTTAGCCAATTTCCATCATGCCATTCCTTCAGATCTCAAATACTAAAGAAAATTCATTTTTGAAAGTTCCCCCTTATAACAAGAATGAAGATGCCACAATAATAACAGCTCTAATTGTTTGGTTTCAGGAGATTTTATGTTCCTTTTACAGGCTTTCTGTATGTTCCAAATATATGACAATAACTTCATTATTTCTTTTATAGTCATACATTAATATTTCTTTTTATCAGCTTATTTTGTTTAAAAATATGGGACTTCCAGTAATAAACAACATCCACATTGATTTTACAGATATAAATTGTCAGGCAATAATAAATACAGAGTTATGTGTTGCACCAAGATGCACACAGGACTGCCTCAATTTCCATTCTGGTTCTACCATATATTAGCTAAGTGAACTGGACAAGTTCTCTCTCTCAAAGCATGTTTCTTTATCCATATAATAGAAGTTAAAAAAAGTGCCTACCCCTAATGTTTGTCTGAGAATTAAATGACATGATACATATAAACTCAGAATATGCTATTGTTATTATTAGCACTGACACTATGCATTGTTTAATAGAAAACACTCTTAATACCATCATTAGAGTAATGATGAACAGTCAATTATACAATCAGTTGGTTGGGAATCATCCCACAAAGCAACAGTTCACCAGTTCAATTCCCAGTCAGGGCATATGCCTGGGTTGCAGGCCTGGTATCCGCATATTTAACTAACAACTAGAATCAAGAATAAAGAAATCCTACAAATTTCTTTTTGGGGCATGTGTGAGAGGCAACCAATTGATGTTCTCTTCTTTTCTTTCTCTCTACCTTCCCCTCTCTATAAACAAATAAAAACTTTAAAAAAATTTTTTAGAAAACCAAGATATACAACAACATTTATAAGATGTTTTTATTTTTTATAGGAAGAGAAAGGACAAAAGGCAAAAGAAGTAAAAAGGAAGTAATTGGTAACATTCAACGTCTTGCAGAGAAACTTAATGGCTGCAATGGGTGGAAAGTTTCTTTCTCACTGTATTATTACTTTTGTATATTTTTAATTTAGAATCATGTGATTGTATTTCTTATTTTAAATTTAAACTATAATAAAAACTTGTTACAACTGCACTGCATACTCTCCTAAATACTATCTGCAAAATAAGTTTTTTACTTTTGGGGGAGAACTTGAACTTAGCATTCCTTAAGAGAAACAAAAGATCTCAATCCTCACGAGGCACATATTTTTCTTAATGTTTGACAGTCTTCAGTTTAAGCTGACTAAATTTTCTTTTGTGAAGTACTGTTCTCATTATTTTAAGAAAAATTATGAAGTTGACAAATGTTCTGTTCTATACTAAAATTAGTGTCTAAACTTGACATATAAGGAAAACCATCTTCATCATTTAAATTGGATATATAGCTTTTCCAATAGCCTACCTCTTTCTGTACTTGATCAATCTGCTTTTTAGAATCAGCCAGTTTATCTTTCAGCTCAGCATTATCTTCTTCCTTCCTCTGAAGATCTGCTTTCAGATTCTGGATAAGACCAGAGCTTACAGAGAGCTCCTCTTTCAATCTATAAAACACAAACCACTTTTCTATAGTGACACACCATTAATCACTCAGGATCATACATGTGAGATAGTAACAATCCACATTATTACACCTTTTCACAAATTCAGAATGTTCAAACCATGAATGAGTCTTTTGGAGAGGATTTTAGATTTTATAAAAAGATCTTTTCACATGATTTTTGGTTCCAAAAGTTTATATAAACAAAGTTCAATGTCTTCATTCATCATACATACTATAATTCACCAGATTAAATTATGCCTACCTAACTTATTTAAAAGTTACAAAAGAAAATCACCCTGGGTGGTGTAGGTCAGTGGATTGAGCACAGGCCTGCAAACCAAAGAGTCGCCAGTTCAATTACCAATCAGGGCACATGTCTAGGTTGCTGGTCAGGTCCCCAGTAGGGGGCGGGTGAAAGGCAACCACACACAGATGTTTCTCTCCCTCTTTTTCTCCTTCCCTTCCCCTCTCTCTAAAAATAAATAAAATCTTAAAAAAAAACAAACTTACATATGAAAATCAATAAAATGAGTGTTTTGCACATTAGAAACATTTGAATAATATTTAGCTTACTTCTCGTTCTCTTGCCTGCTGGTTTCTTTTTCTTCTTGCTTTAATTGAAGTGAATGTTTTGCATCTTGCAAATCATTTGTTAATTGTATGATTTCTTCTTTCAACCTGATTTCTCTTTCATTTAAATCTTTGATATTTTTGATACAATCCTGATGATTTGCTTCAAATTCCTTCAGATTTTTTTCTAGCTTCAAGATGATAGATTCTTTTTCCAAAATTTCTTGTTCTAACTTTACTAAATGACCACATTTAACCTTCTGAGTTTCTAAGATTGCTTCAAGCTCCTTTATTTTCATTTTATAGGAAGCAGCATCTTGTGTAATTTCTAAAAGTGCCCTATTTCCTTCAACTACTTGCTGTACTTGAACATCAAGACTAACATTTTTTTCTCGCAATTCTTCTTTCAGCTGCTGTATAAGACTTTCTTTTTCTTTTAGTAGGTCATCTTGATTTTTATTCTCTGTTTTTAGTCTCTTATTTTCATCCCCACAGCCTTTTACTTCTGCTTGTAATTTTTCAGCTTGTTGTTCCAGTTCCTGGATCTGATGACTTTTTTTGGAGGAGGCCTTTACAATCTCCTTACATTCTTTCCAAATGGCATCAATACTAGAGTAGAAAGAACTTTCCCTATTGAGTTTAACCTGCTTACTTGCCAAATAATCATTATCCAAAGAATGTAACTGTGTATTTAGCAAAGTATCCTCTTGAGAAACACTATCCCGAAGATTGAGTAAATCTATGTGTGAGATCTGAGAAATTGAATCAAGATTTCGTAGTTCATCTATTTTTGCTTGCATTAATTTTATTTGTGAAACATTATTTGTGATATTTCTTCTAGCAATTTCTATCTCCTCTGATAATTTCATGATCTTTTCCTCCTGTTCTTGATTTATACCTCTCTGCACTTGTAATTCAGAAACTGCATGGTCATAAGTTGACTGAATTTGTTGCACATCTATACTTAAAGAAAAGTTCTTTTTCTCAGAAAAACAAAGTCCCTCCTGCAAACCAATAATCTGTTTACTTAATTCTGCTTTTTCTTCCTTTTCATTTCTAAGTTCATTCTCAACAATGAGTAATCGTGTTTTCAGCTCTTCGTAATCATTTTCTTGTAAAACTCTGTTTTGCTCATCTTCTGAACTGCTCTGTTGCATTTCTTCATTTTTCTTTTGGTCTTCAGTGGTAGTTAGACTAACGTGTACAGGTCCTTTAAAAATAAGAAAGTTGTTATTAATCTGGCAATCCTTAATAAAACCAAAAAGTAATCAGATAAGCCAAAATTCAAACATATAAAATATGAATGCAAACTTTTAATGAAAAACACAAGCCCTGGCTGGCGTATCTCAGTGGATTGAGCGCGGGCTGAGTGCAGGTTCGATACCCAGTCAGGCCACATACTTGGGTTGCAGGCCACAGCCCCCAGCAACCGCACATTGATGTTTCTCTCGCTCTCTCTTTCTCCCTCCCTTCCCTCTCTAAAAATAAATAAATAAAATCTTAAAAAAAAAAACACACAAATATGCTACTCAGTGAAAAAGCAAAAGCAGGTGGTAAAACATATGTCTACCACAAATCTTCATCATCATCATAACATGGGACAGAGGCAAAGAAATTACCTAATGAGATACAACAAGACAGACACCTGATATCATAAAGTACAATGTTAATGGCAAAATGGTGGTAATCCTATATGTATATCAAATATCACATTTTATATTTTAAATATATTGTAACTTGTCAACTATACTTTAATAAACCTGGGGAAAAAATCAACATTTTATACTTTAAATACAGGTTTATAGTTGTTTGTATGGAAAATAAAATAATTTATTTACACAAGAATAAACCGTTTCTACCTACTCACAACTGTAAGCCTACTTTTACACTTCCTGTAAGCCTTCCTGTATGACTTGTCAATTATACCAAAATAAACCCGAAAATAATCCCAGCTTTCTATTTACCCCACTGAGAGTAGCCGCATCCCAAAATCACTGTATAATCAAGGGATCTCCCCCTCCTTACTTCATCCAAATATTTATCCAGTTTTACCTTCCTCAATGTATATGCAAAAACAAGCTGTATTCTAAGTTTTTACTTTTCAAAAACTATCCATATTCTTTTCCTTCACCCAACTGTCTAAATGCTTTTGATCAGCTGTAATTGGGAATCCCAAGATCTCTTTTCTTTAATTCAGACTAATTTTAAAAGCTCACTGGACAAAGCTTTATTATCTGTAATTTACATGGTTGTCTCTTGCCTGGAAGAGAATGGAAGAAACATTACCCATACTGCAGAGCATCACTTTCTTAGACTCTCAGTTTATCCTAAGGACTCCAGCTACTCTGGAAACTTAAAGAGCTGCTCTTATTTACTTTTACAACAAACCTGCCCATGAACTCATATTTTTTTTTAAATAATCTTAAACCAATTTATTATTTTTCAGTGGACTGTCTCCCAGCATCGTACAAAAATGTGGCAAGTCATCCAAACGTGAAATAACCTGGTCTTCTCCGCTGGTTCAGACTTCTGTTCTCCTTTCCATTTAATGTTATTCTTGGTTATGATATTTTCACACCTATGAATTTATCAGTGGGAATGACTGAGAAAACTTAATAATGATACTAAGAGTTTTGGGCTTTTATAATTGACATGTTAATAAATATCCTCTTACTTTATAAAGTTACAAGTTATAAAAATGTCTGAATCCTTTACTAGGAAAGAGATATGGGATCTGAGCAACCTAAAAATGACAATTATAAAAAATTCAGAGCTCACAGATAGATCCTGACTATCCTGAGTGAAGAGATTTGAGTCATGCATACTATGTAAGACACAGTACCTGAACTCTGAAGTGAATACAAAAAGATTCTGTGTTTAAGCAATGTTGTTGCTTTAATTTCACTATATTTCAAGAACCAGGCCCCGACTGGTGCAGCTCAGTGGATTGAATGATGGCTTCCAAACCAAAGGGCTGCCAGTTCAATTCCCAGTAGGGGCACGTGCCTGGGTTGTGGGCCAGGTACCCAGTTGAGGGTGCAGAGGAGGCAACCACACATTGATGTTTCTCTCCCTCTCTCCTTCCTTTCCCCTCTCTCTAAAAATAAATCAAATATTTTTTAAGAAAAATAAAGAACCAGGATACACAGAGTGTATCCCTTTGCAAGTTATGTAAGTGACTAACAGCTCTCTTGTACACCTGAAATTAATAATTGTATGTCAACTGTAACTGAAAAAACCTTTTTAATTAAAAGAAGAACCAGGGTATAATTACATAAGAGAAGGTAAACCAAACTAATTCATTTATACTTGGTTTTTTCAGATTTTTGTAATATTTTTTCATAAATTTTTAAATGTTTTATATCAAAAGATTTACAGAACATATTCAGGGTAGCCTTGTTGGGGGGAGTTAAAATATGAGTGCAGCAATAAATAAATAAAATCCTGTAAGTTTTTCCAATAAAATCCTAAAAGTTTTTCCAATAAATATAGGAAAAACTTTTGACACACCTACAGTTTACTTATACGATGTAATCATTTGAGTGCCCTGGCAAGTAGCTCAGTTGGTTGGAATGTCATCCTGTACACCAAAAAGACTGTGGTTTGATTGCCAGTCAGGGCACATACCTAGCTTGCAGGTTCCATCCCTGGTCGAGGTGTGTATGGGAGGCAACCGATCAATGTCTCTTCTTCACATCAATGTTTCTCTCTCTCTACCCCCCACCCGACTTTCTCTCCCTTACCCCCTCTTTCTACATATTTATACCTCTCTGTCTCCATTTAAAATCAATAAACATATCCTCTGCTGAGGATTTAAGAGTATATTAGAAAAATAAAAAGTAAACAATGAAAAATGAAGTTAACACTTTAATTCAATATTTACACTACATGCAACCTATACTTTATACAGCTTACTCCTTTTTGTTGTTAAAAATTAGTTTTGATTGAAAAATCACAAGTAGACTGTATCATACCTCTGGTTTGTTTCCTTTATCACTATCTGAAGCCTTATTTCTTGAACTGTTTACATGGTTGCCAGTTTCCCCAAAGTATAGATACAGTGATCTCAAATGAGTGAATTCCCTTCTATAAAGAAAAGGCTTGCCCTGGCTGGCGTAGCTCAGTGGATTGAGCGTGGGCTGCGAACCAAAGTGTCCCAGGTTCCATTCCCAGTCAGGGTACATGCCTGGGTTGCAGGCCACGGCCCCCAGCAACCACACATTGATGTTTCTCTCTCTCTCTCTCTCCCTCCCTTCCCTCTCTAAAAATAAATAAATAAACTCTTTGGGAAAAGAAAGAAAAGGCTTTGCATTCCCTTTTAAGAACAGAAAACATGCTTCCCATGAAACCATCTACTCCCTACTATCCTAGTGGCTATAGAAGTCACATATTTTGTTCTGGAGATTTTCTAGCAGCAGGTAGAGGGGAAAGAAGGTGGTTGTATCTACAATTTTCATATGATCCTTTGAGTAATCCCTATAATTTCTAATAACATACAAAATGTAGAAATAGCCAAAGTGGTTGTAATTTGAAGAAACACAGATTTGTTATGTTGCCTAAACTTACTCAGATCTCCTCACATCCAAATTATTTAGCTTAGGTTTTGTTTGTTTTGTGGTTTTTAATTTCTAAAGCTGGGAACAGTGAAACAAGGAAGGGCAGGTTTAACTTGCTAGGAACATTATGAGAAAGAAGTGAGCCAGGGTAGGGCTGCTGTCAGCTCACTGGAAAGTCAGAGAAAAGAAAGCCTTGGAAACAGGTTCTATTACTGCCCACTGCTCCCCTGGTTACAAGTCTCATGGTATCTTTAGAGTTTAAGAGAAAGAAAATTCACTGAATAAGGAGATTGGAGTGGGCATGCCACAAGGAGGGCATACCACTATATTTTTCTTAAAATATTCTTCATGAATGGGTTACCTTTAGGATTGGTCATAGTGTGTATAACACTTACTCCTGGTCACTTCCTAGTTATCTAGTCTCAACTAGTCCTGACAGTGACCAAGATGAATGAAAGAGAGGAACAGTGCTATAGAAATAATAACAAGGTCATCCTCCCTGTAGCAAAGTACCCCTCCTTCAATGGACAACAGAAGGCATATGCATTAGTCTCCTGTATTAGCTCACACAAGGACTGTACATCCTATAAACAATTTACCTAATTCTGTATTATCCTTTAAGGCACCTACTTTTAAAAACATTCACTTTACTGAGATGTTTATTATATTAGAGTATTGCCTAATTGTTGTCATTCTTGACAACTCAGGACATAGGTACTATTTATTTTATTTTACTAATAACCAAAGTAAGACTTAACTTACCCATTTTTGTCAAGGTGAAGCAACTAATCAAGTTTCTAAAGCTATGCATTTTCTCTTAGAAAGCCCCAATCTCCCTGTATCATACCACAAAATTTTTCCAAAGAAATGATGAATAGCATAGAAAGAATGTAAATGCTAGTATATTCTTCTACATAAAAGGGGGGATAAATACCAGGCACCCACTAATTTTTTTTGGTAAATACAAGAACTCTAGCACAGTTGTCTTTAGTAATATTTAGCTAAAAGTTTTCCTGCAAACGACCTTTTCTCCAAATGAATAGGAAATGTGAAGATAGAAAAAATGTGGAGAGATTTGGGAATTACAATGTACTATCCTTATGAAAATAAAAGTGATTTTTTAAACTATTATTAGCAAGGAAGTAAAATGATTAAGGCACACAAAAGTGATAAAAGCAGAGCACTGGTGTGGCTTAGTGGATTGAGCACTGGCCTGTGAACCAAAGAGTCGCTGGTTTGACTCCCAGTCAGAGCACATACCTGGGTTGCAGGCCAGGTCCCCAGGTGGGAGCCTGTGAGAGGCAACCACACTTGATGTTTCTCTCCCTCTCCCTCCTTCCCTTCCCCTCTGTCTAAAAATAAATAAATAAAAAGAAGGTGATAAAAGCATAATACCTAAAAATATATTTATTCTAGTAACAGCTTTAAATACATCCATCCTCTAAAATGTTCATAACATGTTAGTATAAATATTAGTGACATTTAGATTTCATCAGGTTTTTTTTTTTTTTTAGACAAGTAAATTTCTTCCATTTGCAATTTTTATATTTACTGGTTTAGAATTTAATTTTCTTAAAGACCTCTTGTTGGCAAATGAAGTAGTACCTTTCTTTGCTGGTGGGTCACCTTGTTCAAGTTCATTTTCATTTAATCTTTTTCTTCCTAAACAAGTTTTAGTTTTATTGTCCTTAGGCATTTCAACTGTTTCATTACAAGCCAACTTATTGTTTATTATTAAAGAAGATGTACCAGCCTCGTCCTAAAATAAAATAAATTTGGATTAGTTCACATACCAAAAGCTACAGTAAATACAAAAACTATATAAATTATGTTTCAATAATGTATCATAAAAATTTTATTTTCAAATTTGTTGGAAGTTTTCTATGTTATTCCTTAAGCCTCACCCTCAAATAACTGATGGCTCTGCAAAGGAGTAATATTAACTAATGTGTGCACGCACTAAAGACAGAAGAAAACTTGCCTTAAAATCAGGTAAACATGTGGTTTCATCTAAAATGTAAAAAACAAATTCATCTTTAGATTTCCTAAGGTGATCAGGTGGATTGGACACTTGTTGGGGGATATCTATAAAACCCTAAAATATGCCAAAGTCACAATTGTAATGTGCTTTGAAAAGAAGACTACAAAAACAGTAAGACGAAATTGTTTCTTATACTTTCACTTAAAATCTTGAGGTCAACTCTAGAAATTTAACAGTTGTTTTGTAACCAATGCCTCTCAAAGATAAGTAGTATTGTCTCACACTTTAAGAACTCCCATAAAAAGCTTTGACCTTAGCCTCCAGTCTTTGTATATTCAAAGATATACAGTCTACATACAGGTTTAAATTTGAGTTCTTAGTTTATCTAAATGATAAAAATCTTCTAAGGCAGATACTATGTCACCCTAAAAGGCTAGCAGTAAGGAGGTGCAATGTGGTACTAACCAGAAAAAAGGAAGGGTAAAAGTCAGCAGTTAAATGCAAGTCTATAAAATAATGAAAGTTATGGTAAAGGCAGAGATATATACCCATATTTTTTGGACCATAAGATGCAACTAGGTTTTAGAGGAAAATAGGAAAAAATATTTTTGAAGCAAAAAAATGTGGTAAAATATTTAATAACATAAATAATATTTCACCAATGTAAATGTAAACAGAACTCAACAGCAGCATTAACAACCATTATTCCTCCCAAATGTGGGGGAGGGGGAATACATCTTATACTCCAAAAAATACAGTATATAAATTCCCGGTAGCAATTCATGTTGGAAAAAAGTTTATGAAAAAAATAAAATGCCATTTTACATTATAAAATCAGCAAACATTTTATTCTTAAGAGATCAAGAAAAATTATTTTTAATCATAAAGTCATGGACTATTAAAAATAAAGGCAATGTTTTTTGAGATATCCTTAAACAAAGGATGTCATGAAAAACAATCTCCATGCTTTCTCACAATAATTACCTTCATATCAGTGATAAATGACAAAACCCTAGGATACATGGATCACAGCTCTGACAGAGCGGAGAGTTTTCAACTCCATGCAGATTCAAGCTGTCTCCCTCCCTCAGTCCTAGACCTATCATAATGACCTGATTATATTTTTCACCTCAAATTATACAATCTTCAGGCAAAAATCTTTCCTCTACAGCCCACAGTTACTGAAAGGAGTGTTCTCTGCCCCTAGGGTATGCTTGGCTGGAAGAACAATAAAGAACCATCATTCAAAATAAACTTTTTCATCACTAGCGTCCATTTCAGGACCAGTTTTGAACAGCAATCCTAGATCAACAGTTAATGAGCACAGTCAGGTTAAGTTCCAAATTATTTCATATTTGTTCATTTATGTATTTACGTGAACAACTTAGCACTGTTTTCAGCGTATCTTAAAAGTTTATTTATAGGCAAGAACTACTAAATTGGGAATACTGCTTGTTTTATATATATGTTACCTTTTTACTACTACTTAAACTTACTAACACACTGTGGTATGCAAACATACTACAGAAGTAAATATAATTTCCAATAATTTTCTTCAAAGTTGTAGTCACCAGAATGATGTCTCTGGCTTTTCTTTTTCTTGTTTTTATTTTCCTTCACCAAACCAAAGATCAGATTTAAATTCCAAATTAAGTGATCAAAGCAAAAGCATATAGTAAATAACCAAATAAAAACACTGAGAGCCTTGAGGTCCAACAATTCAGTTACTGAAAAAAGCCCCAGCCCTGGCTGGTGTGGCTCAGTGGACTGAGTTCTGGCCTGAAAACCAAAGGGTCGCTAGTTCAATTCCCAGTCAGGGCACAGGCCTTGGTTGTTGGCCAGGACCCCAGTGGGGGGTATGCAAGAGGCAACCACACATGTTTCTCTCCCTCTCTTCCTCCTTCCTTTCCCCTATCTCTAAAAATAAATCAATAAAATCTTTCAAAAGAACAAAGTCAAACCCAAGTTCTAAAATGTTTACCCGCCTCTTATTTCACAAATCAATTTCTTCTTCTTAATCTCAACCACACTACTCAACTACCTTAAATCAAAGTCCTCATAAACTCTCATGAACTCTTCTTTCAAGAGACCTTTATCTGGTTTCCCTACCTCCAGTCTAATTCCATCTCAATGCCGAGCTCCAAGTTTCCAAAAACATCTACTCAAAAATTCACCTTTGCTACTCCTCGCCTTAGAATCAATGACTCCTCATTGCCTATAGGATAAAACCCAAACTCTTTAATGCACTACTTGTAGGCCTTCCACCATCCTACCCAGTCTCCTGCTACTCTGTCTCATCTATCACCTCGCCTTACTTCAAACTTTCTTCTTGAACAACAAATTACATGTACTTTCCTGAGAGGCTTTCCATTTATTTCCATGGCTTTGTGCATTCTGATCCTTATGGCTGAAAGTCAATGCATCTTCTTGCCTCTTGTGGCTACAAACTGCACCCTCTGCCTACTTTAAACAAGCTAAATTTTAATCACCCTTTTAAAAAGCTCAACTTAATCATTTTCATCTCCAGAAAGTATTCCATAAACACCCATTTAATTCTCAACTTCTTGCATATACTAACTGCCACTGTACATTTCATTATTACTGTGTTTATGTGATTTCTCTCTTATTGGGAAGTTGTTAAGATGACTAGGTTTTAATAATCTATATAATTCCCAGAATCTAGTATAGTACCTGGGACACAGTAGCCACTCAAGTGTTTCTCAACTGAAATAATCATTTTATGTTTCTCATCGTTACTCTCTACCTTATTACAGAGTGTTTCTCCCAGCTCAGGTATGAATAAAGAGCAAAATACAGGCCTGCTACCAGAGATCAGACAGAGGTGAGCTACTACTCTTCTAGAATGCTTATTTACTCTTGTATCCCAAGTCCACCCACTGTTGAGATGATTCAGAAAATGTTGATGGGTATTGGGAGTTTAACTCTCAAGATACAAAGGACGGTCAACAGTCACATTTTATAAGATACCACTCCTGCTTCTTCTGGCAAGAGAAAATATACACAAAAGCACCTCTAACCAAGAAGAGATGCCTGGCTATTAAGTTACTCAGTCTATTACATTATTACCATGCATTTTACCATTTCTACTTAAAAAATAACTTGAAGCTTACAATAAAATTCATAACGACAACCAAAACCGCCCATTAAAAAAAAAAAGATTAAAAGGCTAATCATCCTACACTAAACTAACTGTATAAGGAATTTTCTAAATTTGTATTTATGAAACCTTTCAAGGCTTTATATGCCACTGTAGATAATGTAATTTTTTAAGAAAATATCCTAGTTATTAAGCATATAAACATTATCTAAAGTGCATATAATAAAAACTAGTCTGTGAGGAAAAAAGATCTTATTTTACAAATTTTCATTTACCATTCTAGATATAGATACAGGTATAGAGATAAAGAGATACGGATCTTTATGATCTGCAGATATCTAGGAGTATCAAAGTTCCTTTTATGCCAGAGCTCTCCTTCCAACTAACTAGCTGAGGCTTAAACTTGCAAGGGGTACACATTCTTCTCCTCTCATATTCTTCTACATATGTTCTTAAAAGGAGCCAATGCCTCTTTTAAGTCCTCAAAAATTCAGATTCATACAATAGTACATTGAATTCAACACCAGAATAAACAATTCAACAGTCTTAGAAAATCATTGTTATTTAAGCTATTTTAAATTATTTTACTTTGAACCAAAACATACTTTTTAATGTAATTTAAAATGCAGACAAATAAAGTTAAATCCTTACAATGCTTTTAAATGTGTCTTCTACATGAAACTTTAGGTTCTGAAAGTTGTTAATAGTATCTTCTTTTTGATCAATTACATCTTTCAACTCTTGAATTCTTTGATTCTGCATAATTATTTTCTTTCAAAAGAAGAAAATAGCAATATTTAGTAAATATGTTTTAGGAAAATTAAAGTGCAAATATGATCCAGTTTTAGAATTCCCATTAATGACTAAGCAAAAATACCAGAAACCCCACACTACGCAGAGTATGACCTTATTTTGCTTAAAAAATAACATGTTTATAAAAACAAAGGGAAAAGAAGCAATACAGAATACTGGATAAGAGGAATCTGTAATCATATTCTCAGTGTTTAAATGCTAGTTTCTCTACCTTCTAGTTGTGGGACCCTTGGGCAAGTTATTTAATGTCTCTGTACAAATAAAAAAATAATAGTATCTACACCATAAAGTGGTTCTGAGGTTTAAATGAATTAGTATATGTAAAATACTTAAAAGAGTACATAGTAAGTATTCCATAAAAATATATATAAAGTGAAAGTCTAAAAGAACTATCAACCAACTTATTGATTTTCTCTCTTTTTTCATAATTTAGGAGAAAGGCTACAGGGGACTTTTCATTTTCTATCTTACACAGTTTAATGTAACTGAATTTTTACAACTGGCATCTACTATTTGTATAATCAGAAAAAAATAAAAGATTAGGAAATTCCCTAAACAGTAGCTGTAATGTCTTCTGCTAAATGCATTATTGGGGTTACCTCTTTAAATATTGGGTATTTGATACCAAGATTTTGAATTTATATCTATATCTTAAAATACTTAGCTCTTTACTAGGATAAATGTAAGTTAAAGTAAGACCCATGCCAGAAAAAGACCAGAAAAATACTAAGTTTAGAGCTATAAATTTATTTGTATATTTGAATTTTGTATACTAAATTTACTCCATGTATACTTAAAATCTCATTATTATTATCTATCAATGTCAAATCTATCTACAACTATTTGGAATGGTTATCTGACTAAAAGAACATGGTGCCAAAGATCTTGAGAGTTCCAGTGCTGCTCAGGTAATATTCTGTAATTTAAAAACTCGGTAATTTCAACCCTAGTTGATGTGGCTCAGTGGATTGAGCACTGGCCTGCAAACTTAAGGTTTACCAGTTTGATTCCCAGTCAGGGCACATGCCAGGGCACATACCCAGGCATGCAAGTCCCCTCAACTGGGGTCATGCAAGAGCCAACTGAGTGATGTTTCCCTCCCTTCCCCTCTCTCTAAAAATAAATAAAGTCTTAAAAAAAAACCTCGGTAATTTCAGATAAACAGTTTAAATCATCTAATCATCACCATGCACCTAGTTTTAAAAACTAACATAGATCTGTATGTGTCAATACATAATCACTTCCAACACATCTTCTAAAAGAAGAAAGCAACACACAAAACCACAATCCCATTGGTGTAAACTTTTGAAAATGTATATGAATGTGTGTGTTCTATATATACAAGTAAATATTTTCTGGAAGCACTAAAAACACTTTCCAGTGGCCAACACTGAAAAGAGGTATAAGGGTGAAGACACATTATTTTTCAATTTTTATCATACTCATTTATGTTCAAAATATTACCTTCTCATAATTCATACCCCTTCAATTACTTATCAAGTTCCTTATCAACACAAATATAAAGCTTAAAGTATTACCTCATTAGATTTCTCAAGCTCTTGAACCAATGAATTTAAGTTAATTTCTGATTCTGCAAAAAAATAAATTGAAAAAACATATAGCACCTAAAAAATTATCATTGAATAATCACAAAACATAAGCTGTTTTAGTAGATACTTCAACTAGTATTTTATTCAGGAAAAAGGATTTCGACAGCACTAGAAGTACATAGCACTGAGCTACTAATTCTAACCAGAGAGTAATGCTTCTGAAAAAGCTACTTTCAACACTCAGAATAAAAATGAATGACATATGCTAAATAGTAAAAAACTTCTGGCATAACATCAGAGAGGAGAGGAACTATTACCTTTCTAGACTACTTTATAAAGTAGAGGCACCACTTACCTGCTATTTTCTACACATCTCGTTTCAGAGAAAAAGATGGAGTATTTTATCTAGGTAACTCTCTTAAAACCCAGATATGATAATCAGAGCTAGAATGAAGCACCAACCTAACAGTCTTCTTAAGACCACTCACAGGAGTCACTCTATCTCAAATTTGCAAGCCAAGTGTAAAATCTACCACCATATAAGTTTGTAAAGAATATAAAAGAGTTCACAAAAGAAACTAAGAAAACCAGTGTTTACAGCTTTATAATTTCCTGAGATTTCTTAATATTTTAATATTACATTACTATAAAGCCATAAAGTATTAATTATGTTACTCAAATAATTTTCTAGTCACTTTGGTACATAAGTTGCATAAATCTCTTATACTAACCAGCTGTCTTTTTATGCATTTATATCATCTAAATATGAGTAAAATACATCTACTTACCATTTTCTTTATTTTTTAACTCTTCTTGAGTTTTGATTAATTCTTCTTTGGTTTTAGCTAATTCAGCTTTAACTTGATTAAACTTTATTTCTAAACAAGCAATAGCTTCCTGGGGGTCAGCAAGAGATGCAATATATAAGTGAGCAATTTCAGCCTGTTTCTTAATATCAGTGACATCATCTTGCAGAGAATCAATAATTTCTTCAACTCCTACATAATGATGTGCTTCCTAAAAATAGCAAAAACCACATGGCTAACGTTAACAGTGGCTTTCACTCTTGCAGTGGGATACCATTTGATGTAGACAGTTTTAAAAACACATAGCAAAAAAGGTAACTTGAAATGTTTTAAAAAATAAATTATATCAAGTATCTCCAATTAGGAAAAGTTGTGTTCCATTATTCATTTTCTACTTTATGGAACCAAAAAAACAGATCCCCACTCAAACAATGTTGTAAATTGTGATAAGTCATTATAGAACAATTACGATTAGCTAGTTCAGGTGTACTTTCAGTTAGATAATGTCTTAAAAAAGGTTCTGTTGAGACAGCCAAGAAAACCTCCATTTCCCAGCTTAGACCAAGACCCAAACCATGTCAGGGACATATCATGATTCTTTGACAGCAAGGGGCCAGACATTACCAACCCAGGCCCCCAGACTGAGTAATTAAAAAATAAAACCACAAACAACCCCAAGGGATGTGATCAATTTCAGCATCAGTGGAAGCAGCAGAAAAGAATAACGTTTCTTCAATGGTAGGGAATGATTAGTTGGCTAGACTAGCAATCCTTTCTATATACACGTTTTTGTTTTAATCAGAGCAGTAATTAAATGACCCATTAAATTCTTTACAACCTTAAAATTCGTTAAGTTGAAGACAAATCTGAGAAGGAAGTGTTGCATAATCAGACAAAAATGAACCTACTTAACTACAATCAACACAATGACTCAAGCAACACTAAAATGAGATATAAATGTAACAGAGATACAATTTTTTTCAAGTCTAATAGCTATATTTAAATTATGTGTCCTTACATTCCTAATAAAGCATACTTAATTATAAAAAGCTAGAGAGTAAGTTTTTAAATTCTAAAGTATATTAATGTTTGACATCATTGATGTGGTACATTAAATTCTGGTACCAAAATCCTCAATGAATTTAATACTTCAGTTAACATACTTTGGTTTCAACTTTCATGGCACCATCTTGATTTACTGGATCTTCAGTGTCAGTTTTACCAACCAAATCCTTAAAGATAGCCAAACGACATTCAGCATTTTCTTCCAATGTCTCTCGTTCTTGAAGGAGTGTTTCTCTGCATAACACAAATAAATCCCATTGAGAAACCAAAAATAATTAATTAATTAATTAATTTAAAAATCACTACTTTTTGTTTTTGTTTTAGTTTCTAAGATTAAGGACATGGTATGTTAAAAGCAGATTTAATTAATTACTCATGTATAATACAGAATCATCATGGAGATTACTACCAGCTATTTTTCAAGCCTATAAAAAGAGGTAAAGGCCCTGGCTGGTATGGCTCAGTGGACTGAACACTGGCCTGCAAACCAAAGGGTCACCAGTTCAATTCCCGGTCAGAGCACATGCACAGGTTGCAGAACAGGTCCCAGGCTGGGGGGGTGTGACAAGTAGTTGATTAATGTATCTCTCATACATCGAGGTTTCTCTCCCTGTCTTTCTCCTACCCTTCCCCTCTCTCTAAAAATAAGTAAAAATCTTAAAAATAAGTTAATAAACTAAACAAAACAAAATAGGTATGAGTCCTGCCTGGTGTGACTCAGTGGATTGAGTGCCGGCTTGCAAACCAAAGGGTCACGGGTTTGATTCCCAGTCAGGGCACATGCCTGGGTTTGGGGGTGGGTCCCCAGTGGGTAGGGGGCATATAAAAAGCAACCACACATTGATGTTTCTCTCCCTCTCTTTCTCCCTCCCTTCCCCTTTCTCTAGAATAAAAAATTTTAAGTAAGAGGTATGAATTCAGAAGGCACCTAAAATAATTAAAAAAAAAAACTTAAACAAGTAAATAATATTCTCAATTTTAGCCAGGACATGGAAGAAATAACTTACTTAAAGTCAGCCTCCCGTTGAGCCAAATATTGAGTGAACTCCTGTGTAACTTCTTCACGAATTCTAAATTCCAATGTTAATTTTTCTTTTCGTTCATCTATCAGTTTTTTTTTCAAGTCTTCTATTAAATCCAATAGTTTCTAAAACATAATATTAAAATTCTAATAAAAGAATGTATCCCAAGACAATACTGTCCAAATGTTCAAAATAAAACTCTTTTCATTTAGTCAATTATAATAATGCATCCTTTAGCAGTGATAATAATCTCACTGAAAATTATTTATCTGCAGAGATTCATTCATCTAAAAAATCAGTGGTCCTCTCCAAATTTTAGAAACAGACTTATAGTAACTGAAATGTCTCACTGCCAAATTATAATAAGAAAGGAAATGATAGTATAAACATCAATTATCCACCAAGCAACTACTTGGGGAGTTCACATTTGATTTCGTTCAATCCACACAAACTTCTATGGGCATTTACATTTCCTAGCAGGAGAAAGAAAAAACCAGGTCTGTAGTAAATATTTAAGGTTGGGTTTTTAATTAGTCTGTCAAAAGCTAAAGCCTAAATGTTAGAGTAGTTACTAAGTACCCCTAAACAATTTCCAAAATGACAAAGAGTTGTTACATAAACTTAACTTATGGGGTCTTGATAACTATCCAAGTGTGAGCATTAACTTCGTAGCCTTTGAACACACATATACAAGATCTGTCTAGAAGTCCAACCACTGTTAATATAATGAAAACAGTTTGCACAGCATCAAAGTAACCTGGCAGTCAGGAATAGACTAGAATGTGCATGTGTAAACAATGATGACTTCACTGACTAGTCAGTGGAGGCAGTAGATGTTGTTGAATGAGCATGTATACTGTGTGGCCATCACATTCAAAATGACTGAGTGAGCAAAGCAACAAATCAGCATTAAATTTTATATTAAGCTTTAACATTCCTCCAAAGAAACTATTTGGATGATTCAGAAGTCCGCAGCTATGGGCAACTGGTGACTGGCAGCTTCATCATGACAACACACCCATTCGTGCATCATGTTTCATGCAGAGATTTTTGGAGCAACATCAAATCACCCTGGTGACTCAGTCCCCCTAGAGCCCACATTTGACACCCAAGGTTTCTGGCTTTCCCCAAAACTAAAATAACCTTTGAAAAAGAAGAGATTTCAGACCACTAATGAGACTCAGGAAAATACGATGGGACAGCTGATGGCAATTGGGAGAACTGTGTGAGGTCCCAAGGTGGCTATTTTGAAAGGGATGACCCATCATTGTCCTATGTACAATGTTTCTTGTATCTTCATCAATACATGTCTCTATTTTTCAAATTGCATGGGTAGATACCTTCTGGACAGACTTCATATAAGCATGTATTACAATGAATAAATCAATTAACACTTGACATGGCCAGCATAGATTCGTAATACAATAAACTATGGAATTATGATATCAGCCTGCCCTGACCAACTTGGCTCATGGGTTGGGCATTGTCCTGCAAAGCTAAAGGTCACCAGTTTGATTACTGCTCAGAGTACATTCCTGTGTTGCTGGCCAGGTCCCCAGTTGGGGGCACTCAAGATACAACTTATTGATGTTTCTCTCCCTTTCTCCCTCCCTTCCTCTCTCTCTCTGAAAATAAATAAAATCTTTATAAAAAATGAAAAGATTACAACCTGATCACTTTTTAAGGTTTCTGATTAAAGTGTCTCAAAGCCAGACACCTTTGAATGCCTCAATTTTCTATTTGACAATATTTTTATAGCTATCCTGACTTTGAAACACTACTAAAAAGTTAATACTGAGAAAATAATTATATAACAGGACCCAGTGTTTTGGTTGTAAGAATGGTTATTACAGTGTTGATGTTTTGCAGTGGTGGTTATATTTAAAATGTTAAAAAAATGAAACCTAATTTGATAATTATACATAAAAGATTAGTTCAATTATGGTATTGTCAACTACTATAATAAAAAATTATGGTTTATATTTTAACAATCCATGCTTCTCACATTTTTAAATGAAAAAAATAAGGTTATAAAACAAATGTATGGTAAACATCCATTAAGCGGCAGAGAGAGCTTTATATTTAACTTTTTCCAGGTTCCACCATGATTATTATATAGTACTTTTATAATTTTAAGCAACCACAAACTTTCTCACTGTTTAATAAATAGTGACTACTGAAGAAATGTGGGAGACTTAGAGAAATCTGAATGTGGGAATACCTTGGGAGATTGGTATAATCTTAATTCTCAACATTAAGTTTTTTATCATTGTTAGTATCTGATAAAGATTTTGTTGAAAATTCTTGTTGGTTATCCTAGTTAAATAAATTATAAGTATAAACATGCTAATCAGTAAGTTTCATAACAACTTTTAATACTCACAATCCTCCAACTAAAATGCTAATATGAAGCTTTTTGCAAGGCCTAATCATTTTTATTTTTAAAATTAGGAAAAACTTTGATGAAATAGTTCTCTTAAAGTACCTATCAATGTTATAAGATATGCATTTACACTATCCCTTATAAACTAATTCATTATAAATTGTAGCATCATTTTTCCCTAGTAAATTCAGAAATATTGCTAACATTTCAAGTTTAATTGACATTATACACAATCATCAGCTTTAAGATCATTACAAATTAAAACAGAACTCTTAATGGCTCCTTTTCTCACTGAGGTAAACGTTTTCATTCTAATTTCCAAAACAGGTGCAAAAATGGCTTTCAGGGACACTAAAATAAATTACTAAAAATGAGTATTTAACCCATCTTGGCTGGTGTGGCTTAGTGGATTGGTTGCCAGACTGCAAACCAAAGGGTCACTGGTTCGATTCCCAGTCAGGGCACATGCCAGGTCCCCAGTAGCGGGTGTGTGCATGAGGCAACCACACGTTGATGTTTCTCTCCCTCTATTTCTTGCACCCTTCCCCTCTGTCTAAAAATAAATAAAATCTTTTTTAAAAAATGAGTATTTAACCCAATACATTGCCCATGTATTTGGACTTCTTAAGTCCAAATGACTGCTATGATGGGCAATGTGTTAGCAACATTAAAGCACATGGATGAGCACAAGGTTACTGTATTTAAACAGAGGCTGTTAAATCTTATTTACCTAAAAGAACCAAGCAATTCATATTTTTGAAGAAATAAAATAACTGATACTGGGTAGACATTTTAAGTATCTGTACTTAAGACTACAAACTATGCTAAAATCATTGGGTAAAAAGATACTGGGGAACAAGATATGCATGTGGTCTCAAAGTATCATCCCACAAATGATATGCTTTTACAATGGAGAGAGATCTGAAACACACTACATTAACCAAGTGAGCAAAACTTAGCATCACCAAGAATGAGGAAACCATACATTGTGTGTCCCCTGATGTGATGCAATGGGAAATTCACAAAGTCAGCTATGTAACAGGCTTGCCGAAAGTCTAAAACCTAAATCATGAGGAAATAAACAAATACAGATTGGGGGCATTTTATAAGACAGTTGGCCTCAACTTTTCAAAACTACCTATGCCATGTTAGAGACAATTAAAAAAAGTAATAATCAAAAGCAATGTGTTAATTTTAGCTATAGATCAAAAACCAAATTGGGTATAAAGGACATATTGGAACCACTGGAGAAATCTCAATGTGGACAGTATGATAGGATAATTATTGTATCAATATTGAATCACTTAAGTATGAAAATGGTCTGTGATCATGAAGAAAATATCCATGTGCTTAGGAAATATATGCTGAAATAGACATAAGATGTCATTATGTCTAAATCTTACTTTCAAACGGTACAAAGAAATGTGTCTTCAAATATTCTTAGAAAGAGAATAAAGTAAATGAGGCAAAATGTTAACAAATGGCGACCAGTGTAAATGGGTGTTCATTGGTCTAGTCTTCTTATAGATCTGAAATGTTTCAAAATATAAAATTGAGATATAAAAAATTTAGTGTATTATGGAAAAAAACTAGAGAGGGAGCCTTAAGTATTGTTAACCCTATCTTCAGAATAATAATAAGTGAAGCTTAAAAGTATGAGTTCTTAACACATACCCTCTTCTCACGGCTAATGAAAGCCTTGTCTTCTGCTAATGTTTCATCTAGATCTTCATCAGTAAGTTCAGTTCCAACATTTTGGTTTTCTTCAGCTACTTCTAGATCCTCAACAAAATCTTCATCTTCCACCAGATCTTCCAGTCTACTTTCCCATGAAATTGTAGATCTTTTTAAATTTAATATTTTATTATCTGAATTATTCAGGCCTAATGGTACATCTTGAGAAGATTTGACAGGTCCAAATGACTTCTCTTGAGAGGAATGTAAAGTGTCTGGAACACAAACCTGTTAAAATAGCCAATGTGACTTTTAAAACAGGAAAGGCAAAAGCTGTCCACTAAAAAGTAATTTATATATTATTAAGTCAAATAACAACTAGAGTGTTTAAAATAAAACCTATGCAAATATTCAAGAAGAAATTAGCATCCTTCAGTGAACATTCCAATAACAGGAAAGTTAATTACATATGCACACTACAGGTAAATTTCCTGGGCTGGGCTACATTTTTAGTACTGTTCCTAGCAGGGGGCGACCCAGTTGGCCACTAAAGGAACCAGTATGGAAAAGCTGGCAATTTACTGCAAGAACAGTACTAAAGTTTGCAACAGATGTCTATTATCATTTTAATCCTAGCAGGGTAATCTTTCAATCTTTACCCACATCCCTCCTACTTGGTCAAACATTTACATTTTTAATTTTTAATCATTTCTTAGGTTTATAGTTACAACTGCAAAATGTATTTTCTAGCCCAAGAAAAATATCATTAATATTCTAATAATAAGAGCCTTCAATATATTTACTTTTTGTGCAATGGCTGAGAACTTCAATACATTGAGTGTTTCATCATAGGTAAAACAACACTGGCTGATGTTCACGATCATACATATTTTCCCTTTACCATGAAAAAAACTTTGAAAATAGTGAGTCAGTTTACTTTCCCGGAAAGGCACATGCTGTTGAAACCTATGGAAAAAAAGATTCAAATAACTGTAAGTTAAAATAAATCACATGAAGTCAGTATACTGATAAATTTTACAAAGAAATAATTAACCTAGCTAACAAGGACTTAAATTCTAGGTTAGTCACTGGTTCTGCCTGTGATAGTAATTCTCTGTTTATGTTGTTTTCTTTAAATATTACTACTATTATTACTAATATTTGTAATAATAACCCATTAGGTTAAAATGTTAAGAAAATCACACAGAACTGGACTGTGTTCTTTATTGTAGAGCAATTATATGACATTTGCCATGAAACACCTTAACTGCATAGAAATGATGAAGACTGATTTAGAATTTATTTAGTCTAAAAGGTTAACTAATGCAGAAATCTATCACATCTAGAACACAATGCACTAGTAAGAATAAAATGATTTTAGAGAGGCTTATTGTGTAAAGTGTCTATTGATCTATATTTGCTATGAAAAATACTGTGGTTTCTTGATGAGTCATTGGCGTGAACTGACACTTTTTTATTTCTATCATTTTTTTAACCCAAGATCTCTGCATATTTTAATTGTAACCTATATACAATCATTACGTAAGAAACAGGTTAAAAACAAAAATATTTCTAAGCTAGTAGAGCTGAAAATTTAAAAATTACAATATTTAATATACTAATAACACTTTCAACAACACTTACTTTGACTTTTCACTGTTCTTCAAAACATTAATACACTTTCCCAGAGTCAGCAAAGACGTGTTGATGTTCCCAGTCTCTCTCAACCTTTCACCTTCATTCTGTGTCTTCATGCTTCGCTCTGAACCAGCAAGGTCACATAAAGACAATCTGAATAAATACACAAAAAAAAACCTTTAAAAGTTCTTCAAAATAAAACAATTCAAAATAATTACAATTTGAAGAAAGCTCAACTTACTCACTGACTCGGATTACACGAGGTGTTTCAGAATCCTCAATCTGTAATAATCTAATAGTGAATATGCTGTGACTAAAAGAAATATACAAAGATCAAACATTGTTTCATTTATAATTTCTGCATTCTAAATAGGAGACAGAGCATCTAAATCAACATCTATTTATATCCTAACACTAGCCAAAGCTCCAATACATTTTCCAACTAGCTGTCAAGATACTTCAATCCAATGTTCCACTGCCACCTAAATACCTGACTATCTAAAACCAAGTATCGTATCTTTCACTTAGCCCAAAATCCCTTGAACCTACTCCTTCTCTTAACATTCTTTATCTTTTTTAAGATTTTATTTATATTTAGAGAGAGGGGAAGGGAGGGAGAAAGAAAGGTAAAGAGATATCAAGGTGTGCCTTTTGCACACCCCCAAACAGGGACCTGGCCTGCAACCAGGCATGCACCCTGACCTGGAATTGAACTGGTGATCTTTCACTTTGCGGGTCAATACCCAACCCACTGAACCACACCAGTCAGGGCTCCTTCTCCTAACATTCCAACTTCTACTAATATAATCATTTATAATAAAAACCATATTATTAGTTAAAATAGTATTATATACAACTAATCTTCTTTAAATATATACCTAGAGCAAAGCATATATTTGGCCTACATGTAGGATTATCCCTGTGTCAAACTGAGTAGGGGAGGGACAGGGCTCTTTCCCACTTAAGAGAAGGCCTGTTTAGATATCTCATTGCTTAATCTTATTTCCTTCTGTCTCTCATCTTCTAATCCCTCCCAACAAAACATTCTATTTCTAAATGCTTGAGATGCTGTCTTAAGAGTATGCACCTAGTATTTGAGTTTTGGGGGTAAGTGGAAAACACACAGAGCAAAGCCCACCATTATAGGCAACTCTTAACATATTAAGCTTAATATTCACAAAAAGAGTAAAATGCCTCAGACTTTATGCAGATTAGTAAATATTTTGTCAGAACAAGAAAAAGTCCTGATAGTCTTATATGTGTGGCACTCTTTAGTTTATGAAATGATTTTATGCCCATGAACTCATTTAACGTATCAGAAAAGCTACTGCCCACTTTAAATTTAAATTAGTTCTATTTACATTAGCAAAGAATAGCCTGGATGCTTCAGGCTTACAACATAGGATATACTCCTTACCTTCTACTAGAAGCACTGTTCAGTTTTGTGAAAGCAACACTCTGATGTTTCATTCCTAGTTTTAGAAGTCTATATGCCTCTTTGCAATCAGATACTTGAATCCATTGTAGATCTTTAAAAAATAAAGAGGACACATATCAATAAAAACAGTATTTATTATACAATGTAACCTCTTTGAAGATTTATACTCTCTTTTCTCAAAGAAATATATAAAATCTTTCTTTTAATAACATGCCCTAGATGGAGTCAACTCAGCTATTCCATATTCCACTACAAAAGAGGTACACAAAAGAATATTTTAATAATTTCCAGTATTTAAGTTATACAAACATGCAAAGTAAATTCTTTTAGAGTTGACCAAAGGGAAAATTTTAAAATGGATAAAATTACTTAGAATAAATATCCAGAAAAAAAAACACAGTACAGATTAAATCTACAAAATTATGTAGCTGTGAGTCATTCCAGATTACACCCATTAATAAATCATAAAATCAATTTTATTTAGTCATAACCAGCATTTTGTAAAAATGAAGTAGAAATAGAAACATCAAAGTGCATTCCTTATAGTAAGGGTAGGTATAATAAATGAAACTTGTAGTTGTAAATACATAAACATATTTACAGAGCTACTGGGTCACCATCTTATTAATATGCATGTATCTCCTACTGTGAATAGTGGTTTAAAAAGGCTGGAAAGATGCCACTGTGGAATAACAGAAATATTTCTGAATCCCCAAAGTTTGGACGCTATTACCAAGCAACATAATAATGTAACTATCATCATGCACAGCTTTTCCTGTCCTTCAAAATTCAATCAATGATACTCAAACACAACACTTACTAAAATAAACCCCTTTATATTCAGATTTAATTAACATACCAAAACATACTTGCAAAGCACAAACTTATTATCTTGATATTAATAATTGATAATAAATTTTTCAATTTCCAGTTTGCTTTCATATAGTTACAACAAAGCCTAGAAAAGAACTCAGGAGCAATGAAATAAAAAGTACTTAGTATACCTTTTATAAAAGAATAGCCCTTTACATCCTGGGAAAGGCGTAGCATCTTTCTCTTCTGGAACTTGGATGATATAGGAACGAACAAGTCATAAATACATTCATTATAAATCTCAAAGAAAGAAACCCACAGAGAAAATTTTATATTATCCATATTCAAGCTAGCTTGTTCACAATCTTTCATAGATTCTTCAAAATCTGAGACATTCAAAGAGTTTGTTAAACTTCCTGCAAAAAAAATAAAAAAGGATAATCACAAAATTAAGCAATTGACTAAAAAAGTAAGTCAACAGAACAGATCAAGTCTCCTACACTTGAAAAACTAAGTATCCTTAAATCTTTTGACATGCAATGTTAAATGTTTTGGACCAAAGCAGATGTAAATGATATTTGTATTAACCAAAGTTTGGCTTCCTCTTTTCTTTTGGAAAATATACTAATGAACTAAACTGAAATTAAATGCACAATAAAAGAAAAATTAGCATGTTCTTTGGATTTTACATGGAAGTTACAACCAGTGAAACAGTTATCTGTGATAATCAAATAAAACTTTATAGTAAATGCATTATATATAGTTATATACCATTTTCCAAATATTGTTAGGTTATTGAAGGAATTAAATCGCAAGTGTTTCTAAAACCTAAAAGCTTTTCAAACGCATTTCACATAATAAGCATTTTAAAGGTGAGGAAGGAAATCTTACCAGAAATAGCATCATAACTGTCATTTTGCATTACAACCTAAAAAAGATTCATTTTAGAAGTTAAAAACCATTTTTAGTTAAGAATAAAAAACCAGTAATATTAATTACCTATTCAAATAAATCAACAACCAAATCACATCCCTTTCATCTACTCAATTCAATGACCTCTGTCTATTAATTATTTTTCTTGTTTATAATAACACATTCTCACAAAGGAAATCTGGCAAACTACAGAAGAGTATTAAAAAGAATATCATCATATACAATCCCAGCCATTCAGAGGCAATTACTATTACTATTTCAATATATTCTCATCAATTTCTTTTCTCCACAGTTATTACACTATAAGCTTTTTCTCTAATTAAAATTAATTTGTATACACTTGGTGGCCACATATCTGAATAAATGTGAATGAAATGACACCACCCCTTCTCTAAAAGCAATGAAAAAAAGTCCTCAAGGGAGAATAAAAAAACAATAATAACGTAAATATAAGTATCTTAATGTATTATCATCTTAACATGTTATTTTTCTTCTGCATGCTAATCATTTCCATAGAACACATATGTAAATCTCATTCTTAATAGTATGGACAAGTTGCTTTCTAAAAAAACACTTTACAATCAATATATGAAACTGAGTATCTCATTTTTTTTTTTTTACATTTTAAATTTCACAGGTAAAATCATGTTTTGTTCTAAGTAAATAACTGGGGGAATTTTTTTCATTATTAATGACTAATTTTCACTATGAATTATCTATGAAATTATCTACCAATCTCCATAACTTCTATTAAAATACTATTTTACTTTCCCAGACCAAAATCATGAACTCTGAACTCTACCAATCAAGAATTTTTACTACCTTGAAACCTTGATTTCTAAATCCCTTTTTTTTTAAAGATTTTATTTAGTTATTTTTAGAGAGGGGGAAGGAGGGGAAAAGAGAGGAAGGGAAACATCCTCTTGTGTGCTGCCCCACAAAGGACCCAGACCCACAGCGGAGACTTGTGCCTTGACTGGGAATCGAACCGGCAACCCTTTGGTTCACAGGCCAACAATGCTCAATCTACTGAATGATACCAGCCAGGGCTATAGTTTTAAATAACTCTGAATAAAATCAATTTCTCAAAACATTACAAAATCCAGAAAAGGAAACAGACCAAAAAAAAAGAAGAGGGAAGATAAAAACATAACCTAGTAGATAAGAGACATATGAATGAATTAAGGCAGTAAGAGACTTAAAATGCATTAAATGAAGGAGCAAGTTATAGAACATATATATAGTAAAATTTCTATTTTTATTTAAAAAAGACTATATTCTACAAAGATATATGCAAATATATGACTATATTTGTGTATGTATGTATACATACAAATATAGAGAAACCCATTATAGATTTTATAATAAACATATAGAATACTTTCTAATCTGTTAATGATAGCATTTTTTCTTCAGAAAAGGAATTACAGGAAATTTTCAAATGTTACTTTTCATATTCCCTTGTTTAGTTTTGTATATACATATTACTTTTACAATTAAAAGAGAATTTTTAATAACAATTACATAATAAGACACACAAATAAATTACCCGAGATTAAAGATAAGGAGAGAATCTTAAAAGCAACAAGAGAAAAGGAGAGTTACCTACAAAGGAGTTCCCATAAGACTATCAGCTGATTTCTCAAAAGAAAACTTGCAGCAAGAGGTTGGAAAGAAGTATTCAAAGTCATGAAACGCAAGGCCCTACATCCAAGATTACTCTATCAGGCAAAGTTATCATTTAGAATGGAAGGGGCAGATAAAATGCTTCCCAAATAAGGTCAAGTTAAAGGAGTTCATCATCATCAAGCCCTTATTATGAAATGTTAAAGGGACATATCTAAGAAAAAGAAGATCAAAACTATGTAAATAAAATGACAACAAACTTATAACTATCAACAACTGAACCTAAAAAGCAAACTAAGGAACAGAACAGAACACAGAACAGGAACAGAATCATAGAAACGGAGATCACATGGAGAGTTATCAATGGGAAGGGAGAGGGAAGAATGGGGGGAAAAGTAGAGGGAATAAGAAGCATAATTGGTAGGTATAAAACAGAGAGAGGGAGGTTAAGAACAGTATAGGAAATTGAGAAGCCAAAGAACTTATATTTACAACCCATGGACATGAACATGTTGTGGAAGGGTTGCAGGGCAGAGGGGGACAAGAGGAGAAAAAAATGGGACAATTGTAATAGCATAATCAATAAAATATACTTTAAAAAAATCATTACATAATAAGTGCAATGCTGCTTCTACAACAACCAAAAGAGTTTTCAAAAACATTTACACTTGTTTTGTTTAAACATTTCTGCTGTTCATACAATATAAAATAAGAGGGGGTCATCAATGTCATCAAACAAGCTTTTAATACTTTCTCAAAAACACAACCACCACCACCATAAGCATTCCAATACAGGCTGAAACAAACTAAGGAGTTTATAAAAGGTCATGATTTATATGTGTTTTACATACTAAAATAGTTCCTTACCTCTTTAACTTGCCGAAGCAATGCACTTTTGCTGGCAATTTCTTCCTTCTCTTGGTCTGGTGATAACCGTATATATTCTCTGGATCTATGTGGTTTAAGATTCATTTTTGTATATAGTCTTCCCTGAAGACTATCAAATAATACATTCAAAGTCCGAGGCAGAATGCCAATATTTTCTTCTGTGCCTGTAAAAATAATTTTTGTTTTACGCTCCCTCAGAGTTGAGAAATCAAAACATCCCTGGACTCCCAAGGCTCCTTTTATACCACCATATGCAGGAGTAAACAGCTAGGACAAAAGTGAGTTAAGTTGAAGAATTACTCAGTGATAACTTTGGTCTTCACTGTATAATAGATATTTTATCAACTATTATTCTGATGCAAAACCTGAAATTTTACATTCATATCCAGTCACAGATTTGCAATCACCCATAACTGCAAGCTGTAAAAGTAAAATTAAATCAAGTATTTCCCTGGTTATCCATGCTTAATTCACTGTGTCACATCAATTGTTTTTCTGAATTTTTCGGATTCACAAATGAATTAAATTGATCTGAATTAAAAGCCATCAGCAATATATACTGAATTATGCTATTACTATTAAAAATGGAGCAAATGGACTACATAATGGAAACACAACTACATGCCAGTTTTATATGAGCGAATATTAGTGCTTCACTTTTCCTTTCCAGCCAAAATAAAACAATTTACCTTGAAATGTATATGTTTTCCCTGAATTGGTTAGCCCATAAGTAAAAATCAGCCGACTCTGTCCTTTCAAAAAGTCTTTTACTGGCTGCATAATGCAATCCTGGAAGAATTCTTTCTGTGTAGTTTCTGGACCAAAAACCTAAATAAGAATTTTTAAAACAAATCTTTTTAGGAAATTCAAGTTAATATTCACACAAGTTATACCCTATCTCTCCTGCTTAAAAATTTTTTAAATGATTTTATAAGATTCATTCTTAAAATAGGCGTTACAAGCCCAACTCCCACAAACACACTTGATAGTTCACCTACTCTCATCACGTTTTCAAGAAAGAAATCTGACCCAGCTAAACAAGTTTTCATCTGACTTCTGAAAAAAAATTTTTCTTTTAAAAAAAGATTATAAAGAGCTAAATTGTGATTTATTCACTTCAAATATATATTTACAAACCTGAAATTTGAGTCCTACCCTTTAGGAAAAAGTATAATTGCCTAATATCTAAGTTCCATTAGCACAAGATGTATATAGTTAATTATATATAATTATATAGTGGTTTAGCCTAAGACAAGTCTCTTTTCCTTAAAAAAAAAATCTTCAGTTTCACATGGGTACTTACCTTAGAAAAACTAAATTTCTGTACAATCAGCCCAGAGCTTTTCTCACTTAACCGAGCAAGTGTACTTTGAGGATCTTTCAGCACAACAGTCTGTGAGTCCAGCATATTCACACAGCCCTAGAACAAATAAACAGAAATAATCCCAAAATAAATAAATACAAACAATTATATTTTGTCCATTTAATGAAGGTATAATGTTAAAAACCAATTAAAGTCAACACAAACCTCAGGCTCATGTTCTTTTTCTGAGTGTGTGAATGGTCTTATTCGAAGACAAACCTGGAGATAATCTTTGGATTCCAAACTGTTTGCCTAAAAATGAAGAACAAATAATTGTATTTATAAAATACAAATGTGGCTTTTCAGAGATCATCCTTCACTAATGTGGCTGATAGTTATATAACAAGATTACATAGAATCTCTAAGCAAACAGTGATTCTTCTGTTTTTAAACATTTTACATGTATAAAGAAAAACTTTTAAAAAAAAATAACAAAATGTTCTCTGCCTTCTATATTTTATACTTGAAGTTTACAATGAGCCTTTTTTTCCATAAAATCCTAACTTTTCTAACTACTAATAATAGGGCTCTAAGTCACTAAAACATAGAACTCTAGAATAAATCACAAGGAACCAGAATAGTCTATCAACTCACATGCTCCATTCCATCATGCATTTAGGTGTGATGTGAGGGAGGGATTATAAGGAGGTACAAGGAAACTTTCTTTCCTCCCTCCATCCCTCCTGTCTTTTCTTTTTTTCTTTCATCTATGTTTCCTATACTCCCATTCTTCCCTTCCATGTTATTTATGAATTGGGTTAATCCATCTCTCTAAAGAATTGCAATTAACAATCTAAAAGGTAATAAACAGAATATATATATATGGACTGAATCAAAAAGTTTACAAAGACACAAAGCAAACATTATAGAGGTAGTTGGTAGAGTGGTAAAAGGACTTTTACTTCTTAAACATTACTGAATTACTTTAACATTTTAAAATCTGGATTATTTTTTTAAACTAAGGCCTGCAATTCCTAGAGGCATAGTAGAGTACTTTACATTTTTGAGCCAATAACAATAGTACCTCCATGAACTATTAGCTCAAAGTATTTCAGCTTCAATATTAGACCACATTATTTATCTTGATGTCGTATCTCTGTGAAGCTAGATTTCTCAATGGTTGCTTTGATAACAAGAAACATGTACAATCCCAAAACAATGAGGCACAGTAATGTCTACTCCAATTCCAAAGCCTGAGAAATTGTGCAGTGCCCAAAAGGTATACATATCCCATTAGTAAATAATGTTGTAATTGAAAAATAAAGTTAAATTGTTTTTACTTGTCAATTTTTTTCAAATGGTTACTACATTAGGTCATAGATAGTTAAGTCATTTGGACCTATTACTTGGAAAAGAACTGTTATGTACTTAAGGCACCATGAAAAAATTACGAAGACAAGAAGTGGGAAAGCTAAAAAAAATTATTTTCTTCCCACCTTCTAAGTTCTTCTAGCTGGGTCCAAAATAAAATTAACAGTCACACTGACAGGAGAGAGTATTCAAAGTTTTTTACACGAATGTACATCTGAAGTCCATAAGAACATGAAAACCCCAGAGGCACTGGGTAGTTCAAATTTATGTGGCATTACGGGAAAAAAGAAAGGGGGACAGAGGTTTTGAACAGGAAAGAGGCAAAAGCAAAAGAGCATAACACATGCAAACAAATCCTGCCAGGTAACCCAGAAACAATGGGGGAGTGGGCAATCTAGCTAATAGGCCCCTCCTTACTCGGATCCTTCCTCTCTACCATATTTAATTCAAATTAGTCTAAGATCAAAATTCTCAAGGGGAATATGCTAAGATTCACTTCTTGAAGCAAGCTTTTCCATTCAAATTACCTAGGCAGAAAAGGGGGAGGGTCAAAGATTCTTTCAGAACCATTTGTTTAACCAACTTAAGGACCTGGTAGGGTAGCTCAGTTGATGGGACAATCTCCTGATAAGCCAAGGTTATAGGTTCAGTCTCTGATCAGGGTACATACAAGAAGCAACCAGTGAGTGCAAATGGGGTAGAACGACAAATTGATGTCTGTCTGTCTGTTTCTGTCTTTCTCTCAAATCAATAAATTAAAAGAACCTTAAAATCAATATCCCAAAAGGCTCATCTTAAGATGGCAAAACTTTGGTTCCCTTCAAAAGGCTGCCTTAAACCCAGTTTAGAAAGCTCTAGTCCTACCTATCTGCAAGTGTGTGTGTACCACACACATTTCTACTCAGTCATGATAATAAACATAAAATTTTTCTTATACCTACCTCAGTGCTTGAAGCAACTAAGGAAAATTCACGAGAGAGATCAAGCTTAATGCTGTCAAAATTGATTTCTGAAGGCCTTGCAACTGGATCGGCACTAAAAACATATGACGGTCTAGGCATCCCATCTTGATTTAAATTAGATTCCATTCTGTAAGAATAACAGCAACTTCTTTAGATATCCTTAATAAATTAGCATTTAGACTATGAAGGTTAGCTCTGGTTGGTGTGGCACAGTGGATTAAGCACACGCTTGTGAACTGAAAGGTCACCAGTTTGATTCCTGGTCAGAGCACATGCCTGGGTTGCAAACCAAGTCTCCAGTGGGGGGCATTTGAGAGGCAACCAATCAATGTTTCTCTCATGTATGAATGTTTCTCACCTCCCTTCCCCATTCTCTCTAAAAATAAGTAAATCAAATTTTAAGACTCATAGTCTTAAATGACTACAGAGGCTTAAAAAGACTATGGAGTTTAAAAAGTCTGAGTCCAGCCCAATACTTCCCCCATATAACTAGATTTCCAGGGAAGAAAACATGAGACTGCTTCATCTAGAGCAGGGGTCCCCAACACCTGGGCCACTGGGCTGCATAGCAGGAGGTGAGCAGCGGGTAAGGGAGCGAAGCTTCATCTGTATTTATAGCTGCTCCCCATCGCCTGACCTCCACCCGCCTGTCCGATCAGCAGTGGCATTAGATTCTCACAGGAGTGCAAACCCTACTGTCCTACTGTGAACTGTGCATGCGAGGGATTTAGGTTGCACACTCCTTATAAGAATCTACCGTCTGATGATCTGAGGTGGAGCTGAAGCAGTGGTGCCACACTGCAACAGGTGATTCCCATTCTCCAAACCCGCTTTGTATAACATGTGGTGAACGACTATCCAAACCTTCAAAACTGTTTCATCACATGGAGACTAAGTACCCTGCATTAAAAGACAAGCCTTTGGAGTTTCTCAAAAGAAAAAAATGTGAACACGAAGAACAGAAGCAATTACCGAAGTCCACCACTTGATCAAATGTGTCTGCACTGAGAGCATCATTCCCAGTGGCTGACCACATTGCTAGAGCTAAGAAGCCCTTTCCTATTGGTGAAGAGTTGATCCTGCCTGCTGCTAAGGACGTTTCTTGTGAACTTTTAGGAGGCTGCAGTTCAAAAGGTTCCTCTTTCGACCAGCACCATAACTAGACAAACTAATGAAATAGCAAGAGGATATTGAGGCACAATTGTTAGAGAGGACTGAGTCACCATGGAATGCAATCTGGGTTGACAAGTCTACTGATGTTGACAACAAGGCAACAAGGTTTGTTTTTGTGCAATATATTTATAGGAGGATGTACAGGAGGATATGTTATGGGCACTTTTGTTGCCAACCAATGCCACAGCTGCAGAACTAGTCAAGTCTTTGAATGATTACATATCAGGAAAACTGAACTGGTCATTTTTGTGTCAGCACATGCATGGGCGGAGCAGATTCATGACAGGGTGGCTTTCGGGTTTCACTACTCGGGTCAAAGAGGTCACTTCTGAATGTGAGCCTACGTACACTGTCATCCATAGAGAAATGCTGGCTAGCCGAAAAATGTCACCTGAACTTAACAACATTTTGCAGGATGTGATTAAAATCATCAACAACATTAAAGTACATGCCCTTAACTCATGCCTATTCACACAGCTCTGTGAGGAGATGGACCCAGAGCACACATGTCTTCTCTTACACACTGAAGTGAGGTGGCTTGCTAAAGGGGGCTCTCCGGCCAGAGTTTCTGAGTTATGAGAGCGACTGCAGAGATTTCTTTTAGAAAACAGTCACCACTGGCAGCACACTTCAGTGACACAGAATGCATCACAAAACATGCTTACTGCGTGACACAGTCCACCTGCTCAAGGAACTCAGTCTGTCACTTCAGGGGAGAATGACAACTGTGTTCAAGTCGGCAGATAAAGTGGCTGCATTCAAAGCCAAACTGGGCCCTGGCTGGCGTAGCTCAGTGGATTGAGCGCGGGCTGAGAACCAAAGCATCACAGGTTCCATTCCCAGTCAGGGCACATGCCTGGGTTGCAGGCCACGGCCCCCAGCAACCACACATTGATGTTTCTCTTTCTCCCTCCCATCCCTCTCTAAAAATAAATAAATAAAATCTTAAAAAAAAAAGGCCAAACTGGAATTATGGGGACAAGTGAACACTGGGATTTTTGACATGTTTCAAACAGCAGATATTTTGAAAGAGACTGAGCCAGGGCCTTCTTTCTCCCAGCTGGGGCATGATCGCCTACCTCAGCTTTCAGAAGAGTTTGAGCATGACTCCCCAACCACAAAAGACCCCCGAACTGGGAAGGAATGGATTGGTGGCCCATTTGTGAATAAGCCAGGTGAATCAACTTTGTCTTTGCTAGAAGATGATCAACTGCTTGAGATCACAGATGACAGTGGCCTTAATAGTATGTGTGAGACAACTTCAAATCTCTGTATGTTCTAGATTAAAGTCAAGGCAGAATATCCTGAGATTACCACAAAAGCAGTGAAAAGCCTGCTTCCATTTCCAGCATCCTATTTTTGTGAAAGCAGGGTTTTCTGCAGTGACAGCAACCAAAATAAAATTACAGAGTAGACCAGACATAAGTAACACGCCTCGGGTGTCACTGTCTCCCATCACCCCGGATGGGACCATCTATCTAGTTGCAGGAAAACCAGCTCAGGGCTCCCAATGATTCTGCATCATAGTAAGCTATATAATTATTTCATTATATATTACAATGTAATAATAATAGAAATAAGCTGCACAATAAATGTAATGCACTGGAATCATCCCCAAACTAATCCCCTCCACCCCTCCACCCCCACTGGTCCATGGAAAAATTGTATTCCACAAAATTGATACCTGGTACCAAAAAGGTTGGGAACTGATGGTATATAACATGATGACCCATTGAAAAAAACAAAAGGTCAAATTACTTACAGATTCTGAATCAAATTCAACTGGACACAGCCGACCACTATTATTCATATGATCCAACCTATGGACAAATTCATCAGAAGAAATTTCTTAAATAAAGGTAATCCATAAAGTAAGACAATATAAGGCATTTATATTTCTGCCTAAAATCCTCTCAGAAATCATCAGTAAATGAGTGGATCAAAAAACTATGGTACATTTACACAATGAAATACTATGCAGCAGAAACAAAGAAGGAGCTCCTACCCTTTGCAACAGCATGGATGTTCCTGGAAAGCATTATGCTAAGTGAAATAAGCCAGGCGGTGAAAGACAAATACCGTATGATCTCACCTTTATCAGGAACTTAATCAACAAAACGAACAAGCAAGCAAAATATAACCAAAGACACTGAAATTGAAAACAGGCTGATAGTGACCAGAAAGGAAAGGGAAGGGGGTTATAGGGGAAAAGGGTGAAGCGTTTGCAGGAACAACTATAAAGGACACATGGACAATAACAAGAGGGGATGGAAACAGGGGACAGAAGTGAGGAGGGCTGGGGTGGTGGGGAGGGCTGGGGGAGGAGGCAGAAAACTGTACTTGAACAACAATTAAAAATGTTTAAAAAAAAAAGAAATCAAACAGTAAGGGTGGAATAAATTATAACCTTGTGTTACTGTAGTTATTTAGTGTCTTCTGAAGAATTACTTACAGACTTTGTAACATAATTTAGTTACCTAGACAATTATTTTCCATTGAATTCTTCCAAATAATGCAAGTGAAAAGGGAACATAGTGGACATATTCAAAACAGTACCTGACAGATCATAAGTCTTAAAAGTAAAGGTCAATACGAAATGCAGCAGTAAACTATTAGAACTAAATGAAACATCAAGCCACTAAACTTAAATTTAGGAGTAACCTTAACTGAAAAAATACTAACATTTAAATATTTACTGAGACTCTACTAGGCACCTAACATGAGGGAGAAAGAGAGCTCCCTGTTTATTGATAATATTATGAAATATGCAGAACACTGACTCCCACACTATGGTTCCAGGCTCAGGAAAGCAGTATGGGCATCCACAGGTGTTATATAAATGAGCTGAATATGGTCCCGGTACACTGCCCCTACGTTGTTTTCTTCCCCACAGCACACCAGGAGCATTAATTCAAAAACCTACTGAGGTGGGGAACCCAAATTTTTACACATCCATTTGCTTTTAATAAAGCTCAGATAATCTTATTTTTAACTATTTAGAACCTAACTCTTTGCACATTCCATGAAACTACATGCAACATCTGCTAGCCACAGAACTGAAAACCCAAGCCACTGTTTCCCTTTGGAGTTCTGACCCAAGAACTCCACGCTGTACTTCAGAGCAACATCACTGAGATACCTAAGTCCCCGCTGTGGTTCTCCTCTCCCTGCCCCCAGGTCCTCACCCTCCTCCACTTCTAGGTGGTGGGCCTTGTTTCTAGTCTCCAGAAGGCTTCATGCTGTGAGGGACTTCTCTTGCCTGCTAAGTGCTACCCCAATAAAGCTCCTTGCGTGCTCCTGCCATTTTGTGGCCATACCTCTTTCCTTGATAAGCCCTGAAACCCCAAAACTCAATACAAGGTTTTCATTTTTTTTTTATTTTTCCAAATTGCAAAAACACTAAGGAAATTATACATTTATTTTTGACAAGGCCCAGTAAACTACAGGCTCAACCATACAATTAAACAAGTTTAATGTCTTTAATTTTTTCTCTTTTAATTATATAACCAATGATGTAATGAAAATAGTGAAATCACTTAAGTATAATTTGGTAGAATATTTCAAATATGCAATTTATGGGTGAAAATTAAGAAAAGGTATGTGATAGAGTAAAAAAATAACCTCCAATTCAGAACATAGGGGAAATGCTTGTAAAAACATTAAAGTACTGGCTTGTCATGTCATAACTCAGATTTCATGAAATGCTCAGGAAACTGGAAGGTAAGCTTCATTCTTTGCCTTCAATTAATTATATTCTCCCTCCAAAAATGTATTCATAAATCTTTTATAAAATCCTGGAATTAAAAAGAATGTCTATCTCCTTTAAAAAGTAAGGTTATAGTAGATTGTACTTCTTCATATGGTCAGTTTTCAATGAATAAATTGTCTCTTAACAATTATAAAACTGTTGAAATATACTGTCATTTCCTGTACTTTTAGTTAACTTTCACGTAGGAGTCTGTGGCTTCCCCAACTAGACTAGAAATTTCTTGACATCAAGAACCTTGTTTTATACTACTCTGTATCCCCTACAACAAATTCAGAGGTGTAGAAGTAATGAAAACTCCGTCTAGTGACTTAAATAATGATAATAAAATCCTCTATACCAAAAAGAAAAAAATGGTCCTACTCTTTTAGTGATATCTAGCAATAGCAGAGTTCAGGACCTCATTTCTCATTTCAGAAGGCTGTTGCCATGACTGAATTTTTATCTTTGCTCCAGGAGATTCCATGGTTAAAGATTAGTGAAAAAATTTAAAAATCTGCTACCAAATGATGTTTCTGAATGTCACTAACAAAACATAGCCTCAAAAACAGGTCTTCATAACTACTGATGAGTCCTCTATATGGTATTATTTTGCAACTTGAAGTTTTGGGTCTTGGACATGTAATAAAATATATACACAGCTACACTGCTTCTGGGTAAAATGCTATCTTGTTTTAAAAACAAAAACAAACTTGAATTTGACCACCTTAAGCAAGGATTCATTAAAGCCATGAACTGTGTCAACCAGACCTTCAGCATGGAATATTAGAGTTGTGCCAGGCAGGATCACTGAAGCAGAAGGTGGAATGAGATGGGGGAAACCTTCTAACCAGGAGGATGACAGACAACAGTCATTGCACTAGACACACACTACCCCTTCCGCTTGACACTGCAAAGCCCAAGGACAAGCCCCAGGCACCGGCAGCAGCTCTAAATAAATGCTTCGAGGCCCACAACAGGGCTCCCCGTAAAAGAGGCTGTGTCACCTGCCAAGCAACGTGTTCATCTCGGGAATTCAGGAAGACAGCTTTGGCAATAGAGGCCTATGCCTGAACAACAATAACAACAACAATAAAACATTAATTACTGCAAGCACTTAAAGCCTACTACATACCGGCACTATTTCTAACAACTCTGCACAGTATCACTATCTCCACAAGAAACCTAAGAGTAGGTACTAATATTACTATCATCCCCACTTAACAAATAAGGAAACTGAGGCCTGTGAAAATTAAATACGTTGCCCTGCGTCCGTCAGCTAAACAGCAGTGGAGACGAAATTTAAACCCTACCCCAAAGAATGCGGCTCAACCCTCCATCCCGCACTAGGTACCCTAGAGGACTCCGTCGCTCTGCAAACCCGTTCCAGAGAGTAACCTCAGGGGCGTTACAGCCCCCTGGGAAGGTGCTCACATAGCCACAGCCATTTCCCCGCCTCAGGCCTCCTATGTGCGCAGCCACTACCTCCTTCCTCCCACTCCACCTGGGCCACCTCCTCACCTGCAAATATAGCCTAGCCTGCCCAACCTGCAAGCACCACCGCGAAGCCTTCGATTTCAAATTCAAACAATGGCGGCCAGGCACCGCACTGAACGCTGGGAGTGGGCGGAGCGTCCTGAACAACGTCAGGAGCGCCGCCGGCTCGCTCCAGGGGCCTTTCAGCCGCTCCTGGAAGATGGTTTCTAACGCCTCGCGACCCACGGGCGGAGGGGTAGGAGGGGCCGGGAGTGTAGAAGATTGGAGCTTCCCACGAGGCTGGGCGCGCCATGCGGCGAATGGCGTTGCCTAGTGACTACTAAGCACACCATTCTCGGTCGCAGACTGACAATATAGGTGCGGTGAAGGCCCGGTGGTGAGGTGCTGCCACCAGATTTAGCCCCGCGACTCCCCTAAGGACCGGTGGAGGAATGACGGGCTAGTCAGTGCCCGGCCCTCTCTCTGGCATCCGGAGATTTTCTTAGAACGAGCGCTGTCCGCATCCCGAGAGTCTCTTTTCTCGGTGCCCAACCGTCTACAGCGGCCCTTCTGTACGAAAATTTGTCCCAGAATAGGTTTTTATAAGCATTTATCTTTATTTTTCCTTTCTGAAAATATAAAGTAGCCACCGTTGCGAGGTGCTGGACTGTGACAATCAAAATTCCATACATAATCAAGGTCTTTGCATGCCCAAAATTTAAGTGCCAGTACATCCTTCTCTGCTTTTGTTAAAGTGATCCACTTATTTTGAGTGTGGTGCTATCACATCCGTATTACCAGCAAATATTACTTAGGCCGTCTCTCCCGGCTGTACTTCATTTTAAAGAAAAATAACTGCTAACGTTAACTGAACATTCATTTTACCTTGTGTCTGTCATGGTTCTAAGCTTATAAAATGGATTGCCTTACTGATCCTGAGAAGAACAAGCCTTTGACGCAGGTACTATTATTATCCCCCATTTTAATAGATTCAGGGGGAACTGAGTTCACATGGTTAAGTAACTTGCTCAAAGGAAATTACTGGTGGAACTGAGATTTAAACTCAGCTGAGTGAGTTCAAGACCCTTTTACATGTGGTCTTATTTCCAACTACTTTTCTTGGTTAGTAGCATTTTTAGAATTAGTAGCTTCATGAGCTTACTGTGTCCCTTTCCTTATCATTCTGTATTTATATCTCCCATATCTCCTCCTCCCCTCACTAACTCCCTGCTGTCTCCTCATTCAGCTTGCCTTCTTTCCCCACAAAATAATTATGTTTGAGGTGAGCCAGTTTGGATTATGGAAGAGGATTCAGGGCCAGGGGTAAAAATGAGCAAAAGAAAGTAGTTGTAAAAGGGAAGAAAGCAGGATAGTTTTAAAACTTTTCCTACTCAGGCTGGAACTAAAGTCTTTAGAGGGCTCTGTGTCAGTCTCCACTGCTCCTTCAGACAAGTCTGCCCTTAAGTCCATGATTCCTGTCAAACCTTATATACTGCCTTTATAGCTTTTATTAGCTGTTAACTGATTTCCAGATCTTGAACCCTTGAGGCACTACATTTATTGTTTGACACACATTTATGGAAAACTTTCTGTGTTCCGAACACTAGGCTAGGAGTTAGGGAAACAATGGAGGGGAGTGAGCAAAACAGACACTTAACCTTTAAGGTGCTTGCTTTCTAATGGGAGAGGCAATCAAGTTAAAAAATACAAATAATTGAAAGTACAACTATACTAAGTGGTTTGAAGGGAATGTTCTTAGAGCTGTAAGACTATTATGTCACAGGGAACCTGAGTAAATAATGTTTGATCTGGATCTCCAAGGGACATTAGGACTTAACTACGTTTTGTTTTGCTTTGTTTTGTTTTGTTTTGCTTTGCTTTGCTTTGTTTTGTTTTGTTTTTAAAGAGAGGAGTAAGCATTCTAGGCCTAGGGGACATAATACCTGGGGGGAGAATAAATACAAAATTCAGTGGATTCTCTGCCTTATTCTAGCTCCAAGAAGCATTCCAGAGTTGAATGTAATACCCACACAGTTAAATGTTTCAGCCTTGAAACTCTTCATTTGTCTTCTAGGTTAGCAAAAAGTCATTTTCTCCTTGTTTACTCCTAACCTCATTGGCCACCCTTCTTAGTCTCCTTTTCTTTTTAAAAAAAAAAAAATTATTTATTTTCAGAAGGGAAAGGAGGGAGACAGAGAGGGAGAGAAACACCATCGTATGGTTGTGGTTGCCTCTTGCACACACCCAACCGGGGACCTGGCTCACAACCCAGGCCTGTGCCCACACTGAGAACTGAATCAGCAACCCCTTACTTTGCAGGCCAGCACTCAATCCGCTGAGCCACATCAGCCAGGTCTCTTAGTCTCCTTCTCTATCTCTTCTGCCTAAGCTCTAAATTATGGTAGTCCTCAGAGCTTGGTTCTGAGTCCTCCTTTTTCTCTTTCCTACAGTCTCCCATTGGCAACATCATCAACTCCCATGTATGTAAATATCTTTATACCAGTGATGCCCTAAATTCCTTATTCTCCCCAGATGCCTCCTCTGAGCTCCACTCAGATGCAAATATCTAAGTGCCCACCTAACATCTCCACTTGGGTATATAGCAGGCATCTCTAACTTAATATACTCAATGTGGGACCTAATTTTTCATTCCAAAACTCAAATCCTCTTCTCCCTAATCTCCATCTCAGTAAATGACACCACCAGGAATCTACCCAGTTACTCAAAACAAAAGAATCAGCTTTTAATTTATTTTTAGAGAGAGGGACAGGGAGGGAGAAAGAGGGAGAGAAACATCACTGTGTGAGAGAAACATTAATCAGTTGCCTTTCACATGACCCCAAAGAGGGACCAGACTGCAACTCAGGCATGTACCCAGATTGGGAATCAAACCAGCAACCTTTTACTTTGTAAGAGGATGCCCAACAAACTGAGCCATACTGGTCAGGACAAGAATCATCTTTGAGGTCTCCTTTTCCTTCCCCACCCTAATATAGTTCATAAACAAATATATGTGTTGTACTTTGTCATTATAAGTAAAATAAATACTCTTTTCATCGCCCAGACCATACCATACCCTCCCAGTTCATCTCCTGAATCAGACCCTGCTCCCCTCCAGACCATTCTTTATAGAATGACCAAACTAACCTTTTCAAAATTGAAATGATCATGTCACTCCCTGGCTTACAACCCTTTAATGACTTTTTAGAATAAAATTGTATGTATTACGTTCTTAGAGAAAATTTCCCGACTATTTTATTTCAAGTGGGTCCCTTTTTATTAACCAGCTCAATTCCTATCTCATACATACTACCAGTAGCAATTATTGTATTTCTCTGGTGGTGATATCATTGTTGTCCCCCCACCTGCTAAAATGTAAGTTCTGTGAGTACAAGAACTACATTTCTCTTGGTCATTGATGCATCCTCAATGACTCCTCAAGTACATGGAGATCAAAAACTATTTGTTGAATAACGAATGAAGGCGGATGTGTCTGGGAGGTTGTGGGGAAGGGGTTGCCAGGGGGAGACCATTCGGACAGATGACCAGGAATGAGTGTGGAGGGATGGGCCAAAGCAAGATCCTACAAGGTTTAGCTAAGTTACTGACTTGAGTCCTTATTCTAGGAGAAATGAGAAACCACTCAACTGGAGGATGCTCTTGAACCAGTTATGAAGCTGTTGTAGCCATCCTAGTAAGACAGGATGATAATGTGGACTTGGGAGATGGCAGAGCAGATGCAGAAAATTGGATTTCAGAGGTATCTTTTCTACATTTTTTTATTTCAACACCAGCTACTGAGTTTTCCTGTAGAAAAATAGAGTCAACTTGATTGGAAGATGCTCAAGATTTACTTCCCATTCAAAATAACTTCATCTCTGCCCTTGAAGTGAGCATAAAATGGAAAGATTGAGTTACCTCAAGCTGATCTCCTATCCTGGTCAGTCTCTACCTGTAGCAATAGCTAACTTTGTATGTGCCAGATACTATTCTGAGCACTTTATACTCATTTAATTCTAACAATAACCCTATGAGGTATTTTGTTATTATCCCCATTTAACAGAGGAGGAAACTGAGGCATGGAGCAATTCAGGAATAGTAAAGGTATCTACTACATAGAGGTGTTAAGCAGTTTAAATCTGGTAATATTCGTAAAGTACTTATAAAAGTACCTAGCCCATGTTAAATAATAACTTCTTAAATTTGTATAAAAAATAGAGAGGGGAACTGGAATTGAAATCTGGTTCCAGAGTCTGTGTGACTCTCCACTGCATTCTACTGCCTCTCAACATGTGGACCTGGCACCCGTCATACCACCTTGGCTGCGCCCGTCTCATCAAAGTGTGGACCCAACAACCCCTGGAATTCTATTAAAAGACTGAAGACTGAGCCCTGGCTGCTGTGGCTGACTTGGTGGGGTGTTGTCCCGCAAAGGGAAGGGTCACCCATCTGATTCCTGGTCAGGGCATGTGCCCAGGTTGTGGGTTCCATCCTGTTAGGGTTCTTGCAAGAGGCAACCAAAAGATGTTTCTCTCTCATGTCAATGTTTCTCACTCTCTCTTCCTCCCTCCCTTTCCCTCTCTCTAGAGACAGATAAATAAAATCTAAAAAAGGGAAGAAGATTGAATATGTAGCTCCTGCTGCAAAGCCACCTCCAAAAGCAGGAATAACATAGCTACTTTCTCAATCCAAAAACTGAGTATATAGATTACAAAGGTTTGTATAACAGGTTTAACAAATATTTATCAAGCATCTACCATGTGGCAGATGTTTCCGTCCTTAAGAAGCTTTCAGTCTAGCCCTGGCTGGTGTGACTCAGTGGACTGAGTGCCAGCCTATGAACCAAGAGATCATCGGTTCAATTCCCAGTCAGGGCAAATGCCTGGGTTGCAGGCCAGGTCCCCAGTAGGGGGTGTGCAAGAGGCAACCACATACTGATGTTTCTCTCCCTCACTTTCTCCCTCCCTTCCCCTCTCTCTAAAAAGAAATAAATACAATATTTTTTTTAAATTTAAAGGAAAAAAAGCCTTCAGTCTAAAGTAGCCTTTCTCAATCTGGGTTTCCCAGAGAGAATTAACCCCTAATTCCTTAAGGCACCTGTAGCATGTAATGTATCGATTTCTCTTCTGTGCATC